CTCTTCTGTGCATAGCATTTAATATTGAATGCAGCTTAAGCCCAACTAAGATTGATTTTGATTATCAGTGACTGATTTTTAAATTCCACTTAACGAAGATGCTACAACTGGCTGGTAACATGGGCGAAGTATCTGTGCCTCTAGGCTTAAAGGAGGTAGCTTATGTAGAAGTTTTAGTTGTAGGTTGAAAGGAGAAGTCGTTCATCTCAGTATTTCGTAGATTATTGTTGACTTTTGGACAGGAACCATTTTCTCTTTGGGACATCACTGATATAGTTACGTGACATCCAAGCTCTGGCTCACATTCATCATATTAAACCCAGCTACTAGTAGTGTATATTTCAAAACTATCGTCTTCTGAAGTATTTTCTCATTCTTATCATGCTCTAATGTATATCAGACTTGTGACTCAGTAACTCAGGACATTTTTACGTGTGTGAAACTTGAAGAAAGTTACTGTCATGTTATATATTTCGCTTTGTAAGTAGACAGTTGGGAGACCCTGGACAAAAGTGAATTGATATAAGATGCTACACTTATAAAACAAAAGCTGATTAAATTGTTTCTTTGAATTTACTACTATTATATATTCTTCCTTCTATCTTTTATAACACCATCCCATTTATGACTTACCTACATTCAAATTCAGCTCAATAGCGTAAGAGCTACACCATTTTGTATGAGGGCTAGTAGTACCATCTATCTGAATTCCATTAGGATATGCATATTTTGAACCCATAGCTCACTGGATGCTTAATCATTGGATCACGGGTTTGAGCTCTGCACTGCCTATCGAGGTTAAAACGACTAGGTAGTATCAGTAGACCTCACGAAATAGGTGTGGCTCGTTGCCTAATTTATCCCGAGCGATAGCTGCTACCTTGACATGGTGGTTGGGCTTGTATATCACAATGAGTCAATGAGTTATGCTGGTGGAACGCTATTTCCCTCGAGGTCTTACCACACTAGAAAGGCGTGTTGAATGGTGTTTAGAAAAAAAGCAGTTACCCTTAACATGTTCTTAAACAAAGAGATGATGCATTTCGGTGGTTTAGATCAATCATCAGTGGTTAGTGGTAATTCAAAACCACAGGACGTATGTCCGACTACATTTTCCACAATACAGACCAATTATCGTGGCTTCAAAAAGGCCGTACATGATCAGCTTCAAGCAGATCTCACCTGGGCTCTACGGTCACGCGCTAATCCTTCTTTTTCATGTATCTCAAGAAGGCCTAGGCTTCCACGATGTAGGGAGCCGAGAAGTATCAATTACCCTTACAACTCTGTCAGCACCCGATTTCCCTCACACCACTATCCACCTCCCTCATTCTTACCCTCTAATTTTCTTCACGTCTTTCGGTTAACAATTCTACATCATTAATTTCTTCTTTCGAACTCTGAAGCTTTTGACAACCATCTGAACCTAAAGAACAACATCCTTGGTCTCCTTAAACCACGCTCCAAATTATAGATTGCAGGCTTCAATGTCCGTGCCTTTCGTCAAATTGGTCAATAAGCTTCATTGATCAAGACTCTAGCAACTGAAGTTTTAGATGTGTGCTGTACTTATGAGACACGCATACACGACCCAAGTGCAGTTATTCACTTGACTTCTCCCGGCCAATGTGGTGAATCCGAAAATTCGCCCCTTGGTTTTGGAAGATTTGATGACTAGTTCTAGTGGTCTTACAGATGTAGGGATAGCATTAAACACCAGGGCAAAGAGCTCACTACTAAACTAAGTCCCAGCTGACAGTCACCTATGCGCTTTCCGGCTGAACGGTAGAGGGAGAACGGAATGGAATAGTGAAACTTGCCGTTGTCTCTTTTGAATCTGCTTACGCACCCATTGACTGCATTTCGGATGAAGTGAAGGATGAGTTCTACTGAAAGCTGTCCATCATCCTTCTGAAAAGCGAACATTCAGATGTGGTGGTTGTTGCAGGTTATTTCAATGCACAAGTGGATAGTCTGTGTCAGGTAAAAAGGAACTTATGTGGCACTTTCAGAATCCCGGCTGAACGAACAGCTAACGGTGATCGCCTACTACAACTGTGCTCAGATAACTGTTTGTTTCTAGCTAGCATGAACTTTAGATATGAAGGAAGACATTGTCTAACGTGGCGTCCAACGAGATCAACTCATTGATGGACACAGATAGACCACGTTGCTACTAGTCATCACTGGAGAGGGTCGGTGGAAGACTGCATCTCTCTCTGGAGCACGTGTATGGATAGCGATCATGGGTTGATTGGAGCGCGTATATGTCTATGTCTCAATGGACGCAGAAAAACCTTAGCAACAAGACCATTAAGAGTGTGGCTCGACAACGCGAGCTACTAGGGTCACTCTCAATGGGAAACTGGGTCTACAGTCATCGGAACGGATCAATATCACTCATCCAGACGAAGCTTGGTGCTATCTCTACTTTTCTTTAAAAACAGCGTTGAAAACCGTAGCTGACTCTCAAACATTGGTTACAAAGAGTCAGTGGATATCTGCAGCTTCTGGATTAATCGATGCACACAAACGCATCGCTTTAGGCTCTGAGTACAAGGAGGAGCAAACGCAATTCAAACGTAGACTGAAAAAGGCCTGCACTATGATTGCGAAAAATAATGGGCAGCGAAGGCTTAAGAGATGGGAAAGGCAGCGGCGATCAGTAATAGTAGATAGTTATTTAGACTTTTTAAGGAGACTGGGGGAAAAGTCAACAACAGTTAGTGAGGCTATAGCGGAGAAGGGCGGATCTACAATTCACTCGCAGGGAAGGCGACTAGGACGATGGGCAGAACACTTCGAGGAACAGTTTAACTGGCCTCCAGCCACGATTGCGTTGCCCGCTATCCAGTCGCATCCTAAATGGAACATTGAGATAGGCTCCCCAATACTAGCAGCAGTCGAGAAAGCTGTAGGTAACCTGAAACGAGGAAAGGCAGCAGGACCAGACGGACTACCTGCTGAGGTATACAAGCATAGTGGTAAGGTGCTCTTAGTCATGTTAACGGAAGTGTTAAACAGTATATGGGAATCAAATCCTATCCCCTCTGACTGGTCTCAATCACTGATTATCCCAGTCTTCAAGAAAGGCGAGAAGTCCTCTTGTGATAACCACCAAGGAATCAGCCTGACGAACATAGTGTCCAAGATCCTAGGTTCCATAATTCTTCTACCCCTGAGTGGAGCTCGGGAACACCAAGCCCGAGAAAACCAAGTGGGCTTTAGATCCAGCCGTGGGTGTATTCACCAAATATTCACACTGCGCCAGCCTCTGGAACACATACACGCTTACTGATGCCCAACAATAACTGTATTTCTCGACCTGAAGGCGGCATTTGACTCCGTTGATCGAGAAGTCTTATGACAATGTCTCTCACTGAAAGGCGTGACGAGTAAGTACATCACCTTATTGAAGGCTCTCTACTCGAACACCTGTAGGCGTGTTAAAGCCCATTATGAGATGTCCAGGGAGCTATGCTCGTTGAGTGGTGTCCGTCAAGGGTGCCCACTGTCTCCATTCCTATTCAGTTTTATCATAGATATTCTTATGGAGGTCTCCCTCTCGTCACCTGATCACACAGACGTTGACTTAATCTCAGGAGAATTTTCATTAGACTTAAAATATGCAGATGACATGGTGAGTCCTGTTAGGTGAAGACACTGACTGATGAGATGCAGAGTCTTCTGAACACTTTGAGTGCCAATTTGAGAATGTTTGGGATGTGTTTCTCACCACCGAAACGCAAATTGTTGCTCCACGATCGGTCTTCAACGGTGCCCCACTGCAACTAACAATAGGCAGTAAAGTGGTTGAACGCATTGAACACTTACTTCACTTACCTGGGAAGTAGGATCAGCCCTATCCTGGTGGCTCAGTGCCTCATGAAATCTATGCACGAATACAAAAGGCTCAGTTGGCTTTCACCAACTTACACCACCTATGGCGCCACAGTGATTTCCGATTGTCTATTAAGGCTTGCATGTACTGCACTGCAGCCCAGTCTCCTCTACTCTATGGCTGTGAAACATGACCATTTAAGGTGGAAGACATGAGAAGGCTGGCTTCAGATGTTTGACCACCGTTGCCTTCGTAGTATACGCCGTATTCCGTGGTGTCACCACGTGAGTAATGCAGAAGTCAGGTGCAGAGTTTTACGCAGAAGAGGTAAATCAGTAGACGAGGTTATGAACCAACATTGACTGAGATGTTTGGCTCTGACATGTGTTACGTATGCCTAGTCGCCAATCGCCTCATCACAGAAATGTTGGAGGCAGTAGTTTCAAGCTGGAAAAAGCCTGAGAGCGACCAAACTACGACATGGCATCAGTGCATGAAGTCTCTCACTGTTGGTTTGAGCCATGTGGGGTGATGCAGACAAGGTGGTTGGGGTCCACTGGACAAGAGGAACCAGTGGTTTGAGACTGACTCTGGGTGATCACTTGGCTGAGAACCGATGTCAGTGGCACAGGTGTATGCACAGATTATCTTCATCCTAACGACTGTGCTTTATCTCATCATCTTTTCATTCTTTCTTCTTTTGTTTTACTACTTTCTGCTTCTCCTTCCTTTGGCCGATTTTTATTTCTTCATCCTCGATTTTATTGTCTTGTTACTTGATGTACTGGAATGATGTGTTAACTTGGGCCGTTACTCACTAATGCATGGTCCTGTGTTGATCTTGATGATGATGCCTTATGTATGAGTGTGCATGTGATCACAGAGAGTTTTGTTTAGTTCGCCTCAGTTTTCTGTAACTTATTTTGGATTCAGAGCGTTGGGTTGTGTGTATATTTATGTTAACGGAGCTGCCCAAGTCACTGTGCTTTAAACGTTCTGCATATATATATATATATATATATATATATATATATATATATATATATATATATATATATCCATAATACTAAGCAATCTAAGATTTGTGGAATTTATTGGTTCCGTAGTATTTCAGCAAACTACTGTATTTGAAAAAAAAACTATTTTTAACTACTTACAGGTCATTCAGTCAAATACAAAATCTGGTTACATCCCCCGAAGTTTTGTTATTGGTAAACGTCTTGCTCAATGTCTTCATCCCGCTCTACCAGCTGGTGTTCACTGCAAAGCACTAGAATGCTACGATGTGATATTTCGCACTTTGGGACCTGAACGTGTGGCTAGTGATTTGCCTATTTATGGTTCCGGTTTGTTTGCTTTACTTGAACCATCTGCTATGACGGTTAAACCACCACTGTTTGATATATATGAAGAACACTTACTTCCTCTTGGAAAATCACTTCATCCACCATTCCTGGGATTGTTAAAGGTACAGTCAATTAATGTATGGCTTTTTTCTCATCAAAGTTTATAAATCTGCTTAGTTTAATTTTAGTTACCATACTCTACATGCTTTCAACGTTTTGATTGTTTTACATCATCGTATTTTCACCACTTCACGTCTATTATGCGTTTTTGTGTACATCCTTTGTTGAAATGTAGTGTAGCGATCTGGACAATCTATTTTCTGTCACAGAGTTATGGTTACAAACTTGTTATAATTACAGCATTCCATGTAACCAGGTAGTTTCTTTAGTCTTAATACAACTAGTGTATTTCTTAGCCTATTACCTTCTTTTAGTCTGTATCTTACAATAGATGGACATTTTGATGTAGAATGTTTGTATACAACTTAAGGGTTCATGATGGGCACACCAAGACCTCGCGCCAGTCGATAAAGTCTCTTACTGTTGGTCTACGTCGCGTAGGGAGATGCAGACTGTCTGGTTGGGGTCCCCAGGATGAAAGGAATCAGTGGTTGAGGACTTTTGGTGACATGGATGAGAATCGGTCATGATATATTCACTCCCTGATATCTAAAGCTTGAATATTCGCACTAAGATTGATAATTCACACCACTTTATCTTGTTTGATATCACTGTTTTTCTATTCACCTGTTCTTTCTGAACTACTGTGAAATGTGGCAACTTAAACCGATGCACTTGTGTGGGAAGTTCTGCTTTGATTTTGTCAGTCAGATGTTAATTTACGCAAAATTTGGGTTGCGTCTGTCAGTTGCAGGTGAGGGGGGGGATACTTCAACCCCATGGTAAGCGATTTCCCGCTTCATTTTCTTCCATTCAAATGCCTATGGAAATTTTGCTGACTCACTTAGGCTGGTCATGGCGTTCGAATGCTGCCCAACCTACTGAGGTTTGAACACTCAGGTAATGTATGATGAGCCTTGATACAGTAGGTATGACTCATGGCCTAGTGCACCCAAACTCTTATAAAAGCATTGGATAATATATAAAGGTTTACATTTTTGAAAAACTTTTATTTACATATTAGTCCTTTCTTTATATCGTCCAGTTTTGTCACAGTGCCTGTCATTGAAACACTTAATGAGTGAAACACAAATAATTTATATGTATCACCGCATGCAGATCTCTAAAAGGTGAGAATATTTCGGTCACACTTTGGTTAATATACCTCATATGAACCTTTTAAATTTGCTTCCAGAAGACAATGGCACGTTTGAAAGGACATTTACAAAATGTGATCATAGTCCTTATTGTTTCAATTCTAGACCTAAATGCATACTGTAATCAGACTTCAATGTTATAATGTCTTCTAAGTTTATTGTTTACTGTGAATTCTTGAGCTGGATACATGAGAAATCAGTTTTGTAGTCTGGCAAATGCTCTTTATATCATTCATTCTCTTTTTACTAGATCACTATCTGTGCTTCCTTATAAGGTCATTTATTGTACATCGAAGAATACAAAATGAAAGACGACTATGTATGTATTACAATATGATCATCCTGCGATTCAGTAGTGTTGTTCACATTCTTATACTATGTTGCGAGGCAGATATTATTAATCTGAACCGTGTAGGGAGATGTAGACTTCTCGGTTGAGTTCCTCAAGATAACAGAAACTAATGGTTGGAGACTATGTGACATGGTTCAGAATAGATTTCACTAACGTAGATGCATCCAGACATGATCTTCATCTTAATCGTCATGCTGAACTCAGTATTTTCTTTTCCTTCTCACTACTTTATCACGACTTTCTACCAATTTTGACGGCTTCTCTTTATTTTTTTTTAATCCTTCATCTTAGGGTATTCTCGCTTGATGTGCTGATATAAGGTTTATGGAAACTTCTTGAACCGTTATACAGTAATCCAAGGTCCTTCTTTGACCTTGTCTGTCTGTCTCTGAAAAATATATTATTTAAGGGTTATAGAACTTACTGGCTATTTAAACTTCAGTAGATAGAAAGGACAAATTATGGATGTGTGACCAGCTGGTTGGAATCCAAGTGCCTAATTCCAACGAACCACAACTAGAATGTGGGTAAAGGATACTCAAATTCTGGTAATATTAATATTAGACAACCAAACAGTTCTAACATTGTGCACATCATTGCATCTTGATGCGATGAGGTGTTAGTAACTAAAAGCTGGATACTTTTTTGTGGCTTTAAGCTGGGATACCCTTGGCATCACACTGACTCAATTGTTTAGTATGTAAAATGTAGCCCCCTATGTTGTTCAGTTCCTGTCGATATAATTGGAGAAAAATCATGAGGAATGGTAAAGTATGTCTACTTGAAATCGTATAAAAATTACATGAAACGAAACTTTGAGGAAAAATTTGACTTCAGTTCTTTTTAGTATATACATACGGTAGCATATATACAATGATAAGCAGAAACTAACACTTCTCGGTAATGTTGCGTTTTCTGCACTAAATAGTTTAGTCATGAAGCCTTTATTGTCTTTTTTTAGGCAGGCAAGTCGATTGATGAGGTTGTGAACCTTCATTGTCTGAGGTGACGTGGACGTGTGTTGTGTCACCGCCTACCTCGACACGGTATGCTAGGGGAATCTAAATTAGGTTGGAAGACGGTTCAGGATGGCTAGACCAAGACGTGGGACCAGCTGATGAAGTCATTGACTGGTGGTCTGAACCGTGTAGGGTGATGTAAACTGCCTGACTGAGGTGTCCGAGACTGTAGGAATCAGTGGTTGAGGATTGTTAATGACATGGCTGAAAATCGGTGACAATAGCGCAGACGTATTAGCTCCTTGACATATTCTAAGGTTTGAATATTCGCTCTAACCTTTATCATCAGATTGTTTATTCTCTCACACAACTTTGTCTACTTCAATATCAGTCTTTTACTATCCAGCTGTTTTTTGTATACTACTGTAAAGTGTGTCAGCTTTAGCCGTTGTACCTATGTACGACGTTCTATGTTGATTTTGTCAGCTTGTCAGTCATATTGTCTAAACAGATAATGCAAGCTTTATGATTAAAACCACCTATCTTACAGAACGCAACACCATCAAGGCCACATATATGAGCTAGAAAAACTATTCTTCATTCATGATACTAACCAGTTCTACCATAGATTTCAGTTTATCAACTGGAACTTGTTTAATCTACATCTCCATGGAACTGGGCTCATTGGTTTGGGGAGTTGACTTTTAAGCAGTGGGTCACGGGTTTGAACACTACCCCAGCTAACAAGGTTTGGGCAACCATCATACACTGGGTGTGGCTCGCTGCTTACCTCAATAATGTGGACATTGTGTAGCTGTCCTGATGGACTAACAGCCCAGATATTTAAGGTTAGGAACCGAACGTTATTGGTTAGTTGGTTGTCATAGGTCTTGATTACCGCAGTCTTCAAGAAACGGGTGAGTCAGGATCAATAAAGTAGTTTTTAAGACTTAGGCATCTATGATCCACTGATAGTTGTTTTACTGGTTTAAATGACATCTATTCAAGAATGATTTTATTTTCTTGTTGTCGAATTATAAAGTTAGGCCGACTTCTGTATCGACAGTTTTAACTATTATTTTGCATGTGTTGGTTCATCTCTTTCCTATTTCAAGAAGAAACAGTGGAAAGGTAGATGAACTCATTTTCAACTGGACGTAGACTATTCCACGCTACGTTGAAAGATTGTTTTCTCTGTGTTTCACAGTTGGAGGATTCATCAAGTGTGGAGTTATATGACATTTGAAATCATTTTAACTCAAATGCATACTCTTCATGTTATCACATAAATACATTTTCACATGAGAGAAAATAAGTCAGTCTGTCGTGTCAACATAGAGATATCGTTTGTGTAAGGGTTTACATAGTATATAAAACAATCGTCTATAGAAAGTTTATCTTATTTTATTGTGAAAGTGTACTGAAAAATGACTACTGGTAACATGATACAGATTGAGAAGGCTTTTCAGCTTGGCATGTTTGACTGATGCTGTTTCAGGCAGAATGGATTAAACCATAAAATAAGTGCTCTAGATAGGTAGGTGGTCATATTTGTAATGTGTGTGTACATACTGCTTTCGTCAAGTGATGTGACCTGTAACATCAGCTGAAATGCATATTATACACATTTCAAGTTAATAACCTACTTTGTGTGTATGTGTGTGTGTGTGAAGCTGTGGGTCATTAGTTTAGGCAGTTGACTTTCTACTAGCGAGTCGTAATTTCGAACCTCACCCACCTACTGAGGTGTGGACAGCCAGGTAGTATCATTAGCCCTCATGCAGTAGGCGTGGCTCACCGTCTGCTGCAGAAATGTGCACAAGGCATTTGGATTCTTTCAAGTGTATGTGTGTGTGTGTGTGTACATATCACTCCTGTAACTTACATGTAATACTTTTTATCTTTGAATCTGTATTATATCACTTTAGGGCCTGTTACCGGGATTGGAACCAGGTGCGGAGTTTTCTGAACGTGGCAATCGTATGCTCGAAATGTTTAGTGTCTCTGTGGGACCAGCATTCTTTTATACATGCCTATGGAAGGTAATGTTTTTGTTATGTAAATTTAAACATTATATTATGTTTATTGATGGTTCAGTATTGACTGATTTCATGCTGTAAAAATACAATACCAAAAGCTAGAAACAAGGGAATGCCTTAAACCATGTCATATCAGTCCGTACTTGTGTACTTTTAAATGACACGTCTGGGAACAATCAACTATAGAGAAAAGATAACAGTAACGATGATAACAACAACCCATATATAATTAGTAATCAAAAGTACGTGGAAAGAAAGGGGAGTAAGTAAAGTAATTGATGTTTTTACCTTGATGAACGAAGCAAAGTTAAATAATGAGGGTGGGGTGGGGTTGAAATAACAATAATAATGGTGGTTATAATAATAATTAATAATAATAATAGTAATAATAATAATAACCCCTTTTTAATCTATATGCATCTTATAAACGATTTAAAGACCTACGTAACCTTTTTTTATTATCATTCTACCTTTACGTCATCAAATCGAGAATTGTTTGCAGAATTCTGTGCATTCAACGATTTGGTGATTGGAGTAAGGCACTGTGTTCAAGCACAAGGATATCCACAAAGCGACATGGGTTTCGCCAGACACCAGGACACACTAAAAATCATATCGACTTTATCTCAATGTGAAGAAAGTGGAGACGCAGCCTACTTGACACAAGATTAAGAAGGGAAGCAGATGTAGGTTCACATCATTCTTTGTCTAGTGCAAGGAATCTTCAAAATCAAATTGAAAGCCTTCAAGGAAGCTGATGATAGATGGCAGTTCAAGTACAACACTCGGAAACTGAAGGATGAAACTACAAATGAAATCTTCACTTCAGCCATCAAGACAAAATGGGAGATATCGAGGAACATCCTGAAGAAACCTGTGTGGAAGAACACTCGAAGTTTTTGAAAGAGATGTGGAAAGAAACCTGCACAACCGTATTAGGAAGGAAGAAGGTGGAAGATAAGGAATGGATCTCGATGGATACATGGAAGCTGATAGAGCAGGGAGAGGAAGATGGTGAAGCAGAGGATAAACCAGTGCAAGGATGCTCAACGACAAGAGGAACTGAGTACAATGTATAAAACACTACACTGGACAAAGAAGTGAAGAAAAGTGCGCGGAAAGACAAAAGACACTTCTACGAAACACTGGCAAGTGAAGCAGAACAGGCTGGTGGTAGGAGAGATAGAGACCTGACAACATTGTATCAAATAACCAGGTTGCTATCAGGGAAGAGATCAACACAGATGAAACCAATAAAAGATGAAGAAGGAAATTTAATTACGAAAGAAGAGAAACAAAGGAAACGATGGGCCGACCACTTCAAGAAGCTCTTGAACAGACCACCATCACCACCTGCACTTCTTCCAGAAATACCACCTACAGCCCAGATACAGAACTACAAGTGAACACAAATCCTCCAACAAAAGTGGAAGCCCTGAGCTCAGTAAAGCTACTGAAATATGGGAAAGCAACAGGACCAGATGGAATCCCACCAGAAGCACTGTGAACAGACTCAGAGACAACAGCGGACATGCTCACACCACTATTGCAGAAGGTGTGGAAGGAAGAGAAGGTACCTATCAATTGATTGGATGAAGGGTTACCTTGTCAAACTGCCGAAGAAGGGAGACCTCAGTGTTTGCAAGAACTGGCGAGGAATCACTCTCCTGTCCACTCAGAGCAAGCAAAATATTAAGTCGCATCATCCTGGAGAGGCTTAAGGATGCACTGGATTCAAAACTACGACCGGAACAAGCAGGCTTTAGGAAGTACAAATCATGTGCGGACCAAATTGAAACGCCACTCTCCGCATCATCATAGAACAGAGTATAGAATGGCAGTCAAACCAACTCTACCTCAACTTCATCGACTTTGAGAAGGCCTTTGCCAGCGTCGACTGAGAAGTAATTTGGAAACTGCTTGAACACTACGGAATACCACAAACCTTTATCAATCTCATTCAACAACTATATGACGACGCCACATGCCAGGTGATCCACAATGGAAAACTCGGTGACGCCTTTGAAGTGAAGACAGGAGTGAAACAAGGTTGTCTACTATCCCTCATGATATTCCTGATTGTGGTCGACTGGATCATGCAACAAACAGTGAGGAGTGAGAAGAGGGGGATACGCTGACTGGACCAGGGGAAAAAAACCTAGAAGATTTGGATTTCGCCGATGACTTATGTCTAGTGTCGCACAAACTTGAAGATCTACAGGGGAAAACTAACAAGTTGACAGAAGAGGCAAGGCTGCGAAAACGGGACTTCAAGTGAACGTGGAGAAGACAGAGGTAGAGGTGATGAAGATACCCAACCACCAACAACAGCGACAACAACAAGCTCCAATCACCATCAACTGACTGGAGAAACTTAAAGGAAGTAGCCTCCTTTAGGTATCTAGGCAGCACTGTTTCAACTACAGGTGCCACAGGTACAGATGAGAACGTCAAAGCCAGGATCGGAAAAGCAAGACAGGCGTTCATTAGCCTGAAACCAGTGTGGAGATCTTCTGCACTCAGCATGTGGAACAAGATCCGGCTTTTCAACACCAACGTCAAGTCAGTGCTTTTATGTGATGGTTCAGAGACTTGGCACGTTACGAAAGGCACTTCCAACAAGCTACAGATATTCATCGACAACTGTCTACGCTGGCTCGTTACTGAAGATCAAATAGCCAGAAATAATAAGCAACAAGGAACTCTGGCAACGAAGCAACCAAGAAGCTATCTCTGAACAAATATGCAGTGGAAGAAAGTGGGATGGATTGTGCATACACTGAGAAGGCCGACTGGGGACATTACGTGCCAGGCAGTCACTCGAGTGGAACCTCGATAGGAAAGGACGAGTTGGGCATCCGAGATGAGGGTGACATGGAGGAGATCGTGCGAGGAGGAAATGAGAGCTTGTTGGTGGTTGTGGAGCCAGGTTGGAAAGACTGAAGAGAAGAGAGTGGAATGGAGCCCTGAAGCCCTATGTTCTACTAGGAACCCAAGGGACAAATAATAAAAAAAGTAATAATTTACGTCATCAACTAGCAACATTACTTTTATAAACATTGCTATTATTATTATTCCAACCCCGTCATTATTTAAGATAAATCTTCCTCACAGATTGCAGTCTTTAAGTATCATATGTATATAAATCAAGCAAAGTTAAAACCAGTGACTCTGATTTGGTTTTAGTTATCTAGTGGATAAATTCACATCCATTTGAGTTGTAGGCTCAAAGTGCACCCATTCTTTTCTCTGTGATCGTTTGTATAATATTGTTTATCCCTTTACTATTGTAGCGCAAAGCTTAATGCTTGGAGTTATCTAGGATTTTTTACTTTCGTTGCTATGTTGACTGGAGATCATGCAAATAATCCTAATTTCAACGAATGTAGTACGGTTTTTTAGTATCAGTAGGATAAATTATTCTTGATAGGTAAAGTTTCTTGCCTATACTAACCTTCCTCTCAAAATGCTTTCACATTTATAATGTCTCCCACAAAAGTCTTTTCTACTTTCCTTGATTTGGTTAGGTGTATTACCGTAAAAGAGGATCTATGTAGTCAAATATCTGGGCTCACTAGCGGGTTGGCGGGTAAGGAGAGTCGACCTTGAAGCATATGGGCTGCGTTATCCAAGAGGCATCAATGGTATACGAACTTTGATGACTGGGTACTATGGGAATGGAACTCTAAGTTACTTTACTGATTTATGGATTATGTTTGAAATCAACGTCTCAAGAGTAGTCTCCCAAAGCCAAAGATTTGCTTCAGTCTGGTTGTACAGGCAGTATTTCAACCTTTGCAAATCAGGAAACTATACTACAATAACGAAAAGGCAAATTGTTCAGCTTAAAGACTACTTTCAGTGACTTCATTTGCGAAGGTGTACAATGTGTTTAATGTCTATAGTAATTTTTGTTCAAAGTGTATGTTGGTCAACAAAATACTTTGTTATCAGTCAAATACACCAAGATTGGTTAATACTGGTGAATAGTGTTATCAAACACTGAATAGAAAGAATTAAATGAAGATAGTTATCATGTTTAGAAAATGAATTATGTAACAACAAAATATCTGAAAGGTGAACTCCGCGGAACAGTAGTGTTTACCGGATTACGTTTCGGAAAACAATTTATCGTCCATGGTCATACCAATCTAACTCCATAACTTTTAGACATGATTTTTGTAGTTCTAATTTCCTCACCTCCCCTTTGTAATATGGGTAGTATGACTTTCCATGTATCTGGAACGGGTGGTGAGTCATTCCTGTTGCATGTTGTATTAGGTGTTGGTTGATTCGATCAACAAAGATTCGGTTATCAATCTCTCCTTCCACCTCATTATGTTAGTTTTAAGGATTTTCACCCTGTTCCATCCTATTGTATGGTTGTGTGTACGTGAATGTATAGCTACGATTGAGCTTTCCACTCGATTCTTTATCTTATTAGGATCTACTAATTTTGGTTTAGTTAGGTTTTTGTAATTGGATAGCCTAATTGACTCTGATCTACTATCAAACCAAATCATTTAACTCAACTGGATCTTTTAATGTATAAAGTTTATTTGTGGGTGAATTTGTAGGTTTAAATGCTATTCTCTCTTCACAGTGTTGCCACTATTATTACCATAAACACCTGTGTTAGTAATATTAGTTATGTTTTTCTTACGATTCCTCAGTGATTGATTTATTGACTTTGGAGATTAGCTGTTGATGAGTTAGGTGTCCTTCATGTATCCGGTTTCTTGTTTTAGATCTTCTCTTTTACTGGTAAGCTTTTTGGCTCTGTTACTTAGACATTTTACTAAGCCAACTTTAAGTGACATGGAGCGAGACGACTTGAGGTCTGAGTAAAGGTTCAACTGTAATTGCAGCGAGGTCAAGCATATAGGTCGAAGTAGTCGAATAGGGTTAATTAAACCATCTGATCACAAAAACCTAACTAAACCAAAATTAGTAGATCCTAATAATACTCAATCAATCAATATCAACATAGGACTAGGCATTACTGCGTAAGGGTCCGGGTTGCCACAGCTCATATCAGTAGATCAAGTAAAAAGGCAGTGAAGTGCAAGATGAAGATAAAAAAATTCATTCAGAAGAAATATGAAGTACGAGAAGAGAGAAAGGAAGAATGAGAAAGTGGTGAGATTGTGTATGGCGTTGTTGAGATGAGGATAATTTGTGTATATATCTGCACCAGTGACATGGATTGTGAGCCATGTGATCACCTAGAGTCAGTCTCAAACCACTGATTCCTCTTGTCCAGTGGACCCCAACCACCTAGTCTGCATCACCCCACATGGCTCAAACCAACAGTGAGAGACTTCATGCACTGATGCCATGTCGTAGTTTGGTCGCTCTCAGGCTTTTTCCAGCTTGAAACTACTGCCTCCAACATTTCTGTGATGAGGCGATTGGCGACTAGGCATACGTAACACATGTCAGAGCCAAACATCTCAGTCAATGATGGTTCATAACCTCGTCTACTGATTTACCTCTTCTGCGTAAAACTCTGCACCTGACTTCTGCATTACTCATGTGGTGACACCACGGAATACGGCGTATACTACGAAGGCAACGGTGGTCAAACACCTGAAGCCAGCCTTCTCATGTCTTCCACCTTAAATGGTCATGTTTCACAGCCATAGAGTAGAGGAGACTGGGCTGCAGTGCAGTACATGCAAGCCTTAATCGACAATCGGAAATCACTGTGGCGCCATAGGTGGTGTAAGTTGGTGAAAGCCAACTGAGCCTTTTGTATTCGTGCATAGATTTCATGAGGCACTGAGCCACCAGGATAGGGCTGATCCTACTTCCCAGGTAAGTGAAGTAAGTGTTCAATGCGTTCAACCACTTTACTGCCTATTGTTAGTTGCAGTGGGGCACCGTTGAAGACCGATCGTGGAGCAACAATTTGCGTTTCGGTGGTGAGAAACACATCCCAAACATTCTCAAATTGGCACTCAAAGTGTTCAGAAGACTCTGCATCTCATCAGTCAGTGTCTTCACCTAACAGGACTCACCATGTCATCTGCATATTTTAAGTCTAATGAAAATTCTCCTGAGATTAAGTCAACGTCTGTGTGATCAGGTGACGAGAGGGAGACCTCCATAAGAATATCTATGATAAAACTGAATAGGAATGGAGACAGTGGGCACCCTTGACGGACACCACTCAACGAGCATAGCTCCCTGGACATCTCATAATGGGCTTTAACACGCCTACAGGTGTTCGAGTAGAGAGCCTTCAATAAGGTGATGTACTTACTCGTCACACCTTTCAGTGAGAGACATTGTCATAAGACTTCTCGATCAACGGAGTCAAATGCCGCCTTCAGGTCGAGAAATACAGTTATTGTTGGGCATCAGTAAGCGTGTATGTGTTCCAGAGGCTGGCGCAGTGTGAATATTTGGTGAATACACCCACGGCTGGATCTAAAGCCCACTTGGTTTTCTCGGGCTTGGTGTTCCCGAGCTCCACTCAGGGGTAGAAGAATTATGGAACCTAGGATCTTGGACACTATGTTCGTCAGGCTGATTCCTTGGTGGTTATCACAAGAGGACTTCTCGCCTTTCTTGAAGACTGGGATAATCAGTGATTGAGACCAGTCAGAGGGTCTGACAACACGTTATTGGTTTTTTTTTCAAACCATGCGAGAACCGTATCAAGTAGTTAACTTTCCGTCACACGGTTTATCGAGTTATTTTTTATGGTTAACTTTGCACAAAGTATTTGACACGAAGAAATCACCACTTTGTTGAGGTGAATAGTTGATTGTGTATTTCATTCAGCATCTGCATTCACTGTTTTACGCTTATCGTTTGGTGGGTTACATCGCTTTATACGATCGCTGGACAACAATCGATGTCTTTACAATATATACTACAATGTTGTTCTTTGAGCCCGCTGCTGAATTCGTTATTCCCAGTTGACGTCTCATGTGTGTGTGTGTTGAGTTTAGATGACTATTCCTTAAAAGTTGCATTTGTTTCAAAAGGAAGTCATTTCGCTGAAATGTCGTAGAATTGTGTATTCGAAATGCATTTCTACTTGCTTTATTTTGACCTATTAGACAGCATCATTTGTTGTCAAGGCTTTTAATTTCCCATTGTTGATTAAACTGAATTTGATAGGAGTAATGGATAGTGTTTAGCGGCAGAATCCAGGATATGTGTTTCGTCCCCGTCGGGACTCCTCAACCGACTGTACCTGCGTCCCAGTGAGTGATGTTGTTCTCATTGAGAGTGAAACCTGGAACTCGTCGTTTCAATGCCACAGCATAGTTCATTAGGCTAAGGAGTCACTGCCACCAACTATCCTTGATTATTATCTGAGTATACCTTGCATATCCAGCAAGTTGCAATTTCTTACCTTTTCGATCACTTTTGATGTACATAAACCATACTTCCCTATTAATTTACTTCTATATTCTTTCGTTTGAAGCTTTTAATTCGATCTCCATCGATTCGGCAGTATGGAATCTCGTTTGTTATCAGTCACCTGAATAGGCGTAAACCATTAGATACTCAAAGTTACATTTATGGGTTGGATAAAAATATTCTTGTAAGTGATTTTTTGATAAAAGTTATGAATTCTAATTTTTTATTTTTGTTTGTCTTACTGGGTATTTTGGTTTCTAAGGGTGTTTCTCACTAAAAATTTGCTACTGGATAGCTAAGCAGTTGCTGTTTCACTTAACAATTGGAAAATGTCATCATCTCTGGCTTCTTATGATAGATAGGCAAATCAATGTTGACCTCATTACTGAATTTCATCGCTTCAGTTTACTACACCTCACAGCAGTAGACAAGGTACAAGTGCATAGAAAAATTGGTTTTAAGGTTGACAAAAGTGAATGAGGTTTAGAAGAGTAGATAGCGGAAGGTGAATGAGAATATTTGACACTCCAAAGATGAAAAGGAATATGTGTATTTGTGTCGTTGTGGTGGATTTTAAGCTGTTACTAAGAGTCTCCAAACACTTATTTCTATCGTCTAGAGGACATCGATCAGCCAGCTTGCATCTCACTGCATGGTTCAGACCAATAGTTAAAGACTCTGCAGAGCCGTGTGGCGTTTTCATCTGGTCGCACTTAGTTTCTTACCAACGTATTCCTACTTCAACTGGCATCGATTGTAGAGGCGGTCAATAGTTTGATATATGTGACACATGTTAGAGTCACCTCAGTCGATGGTGTTGTGAAACCTTCATCGACTAATTTACCTTTATTGCCTAGCACCATTTACCTAACCTCGAAACCACTGACATGTTGATCCTACTATGTGCAAGCAATGCTAAAAACACATTTGTGGTTAAAATCTTGTAACCTCTCGGTATCTTCTACTTTCAGAAGTCGTTTCACAGCGATTCGATAAGATAGAGTGAACTGCAACATATACTCTTTCTCCAATAGGTAACTAGATTTTTCGCCAGCGCCCCAGATAACGTAAGTTTGCAAATGCCTAGCTGGCCTTTTCGATTCGAGTTGAGATTTTGTCAGCAGTCAGTCTGTTAGGTTTAAAATGCAAACAACTACTCAGTTGCTGATTTACAGTTACGTTATATCATGCAGTGAATATCTTGTTATTATGATTGGGCTGTAGCAGAACAACCAAAAGTTTTATCGAAGCGTTCCACCAATGCTATTGTTAAGGTTCAAACTAGTTGAAATCAGCAGGAAGCCCTCGATCTAGGTTTCATGCTTGTTGGCACTCGTCAGCAAGAGGTATCTGCAACCTCGGGTAAACTGATATCTCGCCTGCGATTCAAACCCGCGTCACCCGCTGTCTCAGTCAGCGATGTTACCACGTAGCTATTCGGGCGTTGACTTACCTCGTGTAGGACTGGGTTACATACATTGATTGATCACTGGAAAGCAATCAGTCTTCTAACTTGGTGACCGCATCGCAAAATGGTTGATAGAATTCGGTCAGCACTCTGTACTATACAACATGAGATTCGTCGCTCTCCAATGACCAATCAATGTAGTTAAAATAATTTTCCCGTCTGACATTTTTCTACTACTATATTTGAGATGGGTAAGAAAGCTTCCAAAAGATGTCGATTGCTGCTTCCGTCCCTCTCTCCCTCCATTCCTCAATGACTAGTCAGTTCAAAGTGAATGGCAACCGAAAATTGGAAAACAATCCACTTTCCAAAGTTTCTTATAGCTGAATGGAGGTGATAGTTTAAAAGTATTCAAGAATGAAACAACAACATTGCCTTCTGAATTTCTCTTCTATTCAGTCGGTTCATTGAAAATTACCGTTTAAAAAAAATTAGTGAATGTTCTACTGTTCTGTACGTATTGAATGTTTGGAGTAATGACTTGTCTTGGAATCAAGCCTTGTAACAAATTGTGTCATTTTGGGGAGCAACTCTAAAGGGCACCCTAGCAACTGCTAAAATAACCAATCATATTGATCATTATTTTATGTCCTTTGGTTTCTTATTCGGACATAGCGCTTCACTATCACGTCGCCATTTCACTCTTTTCTTTTCAATCTTTTCAACATGGCTCCATGACTGCCACAAGCTTTCATTTCTTCCTCACACGATCCCCTCCATGTCATCCTCGCCTCGGACGCCCAGCTCGTTGTTTCCCCTTTGGGTTCAACTCGATGGTTAATGAAAGCCTGTCTTGGTGTCTTTCCAATCCTGGCTTTGAAATCCTCATCTGTGCGTGTGCCACCTGTAGTTGAAACGATGCTGCCTAAGTAGGTACGTAGGTAGGTGAAAGAGACAACTTCCTTTAGATTTCTCCCGTTGATAGCGATTGGTGTTTTGTTGTTGTTGTTTTTGGGTGAGTGGGTATCTTGATCACCTCTACCTCCGTCTTCTCTACGTTCACCTGAAGGAAGTTGCGTCTTCTGCCAACTTGTTAGTTTTTGCCTGTAGATCTTCTAGTTTGTGCTACAAGACATCAGACATAAATGATCATCGACGAAATCCAAATCTTTTTCTGGGGTCTTTTCATCAGTCCAGCCAGCGTATGCACATCTCGCTCCAGTCCAACCGAGTCGACCACAATGAGGAAGATGAAAGGTGATAGTAGGTGGCAACCTTGTCTTACTCCTGTCTTCACTTCAAAGGTGTCACTGAGCTTTCCATTGTGAATCACTTGGTCTGTAACATCATCATATAGCTGTTGAATGAGGTTGATAAAATAACCAATTAGCTTTCTTTATTTTATAAAAAAACTGGTTTTTTAGCCGAAATAGAAAAAAATAATCTACTACTTCAGTGGTTGCTAGGCTAGCCTGTATAGTCACTCCAATATGAATGCAAGTGAATCTGAATTTATTTTTGGTGTGCAAGCGTACCACGTGAAATCTGTATTATGATAATTCAATTTCTTTGTGCATGCAAGATCCTATCAACTATGAAGTGTTTTGCATAACTTTTCTTACATCAGTTTTCTCTTAAGGTGTTTATTAAAATAGGGAACTTATAGGTTTGAACAGTTCGCCTTTATCGAATTCTCAGTTGTGTATGCGAAAGTGCAGTTGTGGGTCATTAGTCTAGCCAATCGACTGTCAGCCAGAAAGTCTAGGGTTCGAGCACCACTGCACCTATCATCGAGGTTTGGGTCGCCAGATAATACGTATCATCAGCCCTCACTCAATATGTGTAGCTAATTGCCTACTGCATGAATGTGCACAAGGTTACTGAAGGAGTTTCGATTTCAATTCGGATATACGAAAAAATCTACTGATTATTTCTCTTTTATTTCTCTTGGTTTAGGTGGAGAGTTTATGTTGTCTGTTTGGTGATAGTGTTCTGCTGGTACAACGTGATGCTCTTGATTTTCTCCTGTTTGCATTACCAATCCATTTTCATTCAACATCAATCACAAATACAAATCCATTCAACTTTATTACTGGTGATTCACTGACTATGAAAGATTTTGCAGTATTGTGTACATCATCATTATCTATTTTATTACGTCGTGATGCATCATTGAATCGTCGTTTATTCACTTGGCTTAGAGGTGGGCAATTAGTTGAGGGCATGATTATTAATGAAGAGGATAATCATGTAAATGGTGGTGTTGGTAAATCAACAACATGGGCGGATGTAGTTATTCATACAGAAAATAGTAAACATTTATCGGTAAGTTGTTCGTTGTAGTTTAAGTAACATGAACGGGAATTACACAATGGAAGCTAAGTGGTGCACAATCATACCTTAACTAAATTTCATCTTGGTAGGTATTCATCATTTAAAAGCACCCAATTCTGTTAGTGGGGTAGGAGTAGAGGTAGTCTCCAAGGATGAGGACTTCTTTCAACAATGTACTTGAAGATAAGTTCTCACTTCTTTTCTACGACTTACAATAATACTTCTAGGGGTTTGAACTGTGCTTCGTTTACCTGCGTTGATATGATTAACTGACAGAGTAATTGTTTGGCACATAACAGGTTTGGTCTACAGTTTGTTATGCTAGCACGTTAATCACCATGATTTTAATAAGGGATGAATATATGAAGATATTGCATAATTTCTTGAGGTATTTTGGAAAGGAACTAAATCAGTACTCCGAGTCTTGTCGAATCATCAAACCCAGAAAGTATCTTCTTGATGCTAAACACATTTCATGGTTTGAGATATGTTATTTCATTCCCATTGGAAAGAATTTACCACTCGGAAAACATCATCATTGGGATTAGGGGTTGTTATTTTAGAGTGGGCTATTTCTGACTTCTTTTCTACAACGAGGAAACAACAATAGCGGCTACTTTCGGGTGACAACATACTACAGTCTTAGTCCCGTGCAGTCAATGGTGAAATATCACTCTCAGATCTAAGACTAGCTGCTTGCAATGCAACCGTTCTCCGACGACTAACTGTCTTGGCGTGGTCAGACTTTAGGAAATCGGTATTTTCAGATCATAGGTGTGATGGACACATGTGACCATCACGCTAGAGAAAAATGATAAACAACAGAAAGATCAGAGGTCAGTTCGTTGGAGACAATTGACAGGAAGCCCCGGAACTAGATTTGGTGCTTTTTGGCACTCATCAGCAAGGCGTATCTGCAACCTCTACAGGTGGGACATCAGTTCTGTAGATGTTGCAGATACGCCTTGCTGATGAGTGCCAAAAAGCACGAAACCTAGGTCCAGGGCTTCCTGCCGATTGTCTCCAACCAACTAACATCTAATGTGCACCGCAATGCTGAGCTTTCTAGCTTGGTTACCACATTGCAAATATGATCGATAGAATTCGATCTGCACTCAGGACTAGACAACATGAAATTGGTTACACTCCCGTGACCAATCAATACAGGTCAGAGGTCAGGCAGAGGAACAGCTAACCAGAAAATCTATGCAATCAATGACAGAACAGTCAAAGAAAACAACCAATCACAAACCAGTTCATCAGAGCAAACTACTGAATCACTCACGGTGAGATATTGATAGTTCACTTCATATTGAAGTTAGTGTTGCTGACAATGTTGTCTAAAAAGACAATAAAAGCTTCACGAGTAAACCATCAAGTTCAGAGAAGACAACAGAATCAAGCTAGAGAAACAGCTGCAGTTCGACCTATAGAAACAGGGTCTTACAGTATCTTTCAAACCGTAGAATAGAAAATGCAGTGTGATTTTGCAGTATGAATTTACTTTAATCAGTCGTCACCATGTGTACTCTCATTGATAGGGGTATTAAGCCAGTATGAAAGGCTCAAGCACGACTATAAATGCTATCAACTAAGTCAGTTGTATAGACTGAAAGCTTGTATGTATCAGGTATATTTTCACTGTGTAATTTTGTATTGGAAGAAGAACAAGTATTTCAGCGAAGAGTCTTTTTTCGGTGGTTTCATTTTCTAAGCTATACAATGGTAAATTTATATATTTTCCTAGTTTAAGGATTTGATAGTTAAAAATGGTTTTTTCAAGTTGGTATTCATCATGGACTGACGTTAGTTGGAGGAAGACTGGTGACCTTGGAGCATTGGACAGATGTTTCATCCCAGTATGGGATTCTTCAATAGTGCGCGCCCACGACCCTCCAGGGATAGAACTCGCGACTTTCAGGTTCCGTGGCCAGCACGTTACCATTGAGCTAGCCACTGAATCGGGATCCAGTGGTCCATATATCCAACTTCTGTCAGTTCACTATATAGCACGACCATCATCCAATGTCAGCGTTGAGTATTTGTCCTCACGACCACTAGGTTCGCCCTACTGGTCACGACTTTCATTGGAACTTGGGGGATCACCTCTCGAAGCTACTCACCAATGAACACTAGATCAATTTAATTTGGGGATTTGTGGAGATTTATTGACTTTAAGTTGGTATTCATCATGGACTGACGTCTGTTTGAGTTCCATACTAGAACGAAACAGCTGTTCAGTGCTCCTAGGTTTCCAATGTTCCTCCAAATGACACGGGTCTGCAATGAATACCAACTTGAAGTCTTTAAATCCCCACAAACCCCCAAATTCAATTTAAAACGGTCTGTCAAGCATGGCAGGCAACATAAATAGTATCGATAAATGAGCTATCGTTAAAATCAACAAACCAAAAACTGATAACCAGTGCATATTAATCAAATAGTGGAGAATATTTGTAGCTCAGGTGGATGGTCTTGGTTGTATTGTGTTATGTAAGCTGGGCTTCACCATTAGACAACCCAGATCAGAGAACACAATACAACCAAGAATATTGCTGAAAATAAGTTTGGACAAAAATTTTGTTGCATGATGACAATTGGGGACTGAATTGTGATCAGGCAGAGCATAGCAACAAGAATGAGTAGCAGATAACTTCAGAAGTGAATGGTGTCAAAACAGAAAAATGAAAAGAAAAGGTGGAGGCGGGGTAGGGGTAGGGAGATTTCAAAGACTGAAAACTAAGACCATGAAAGGAGAAGGGGTTGAACAGTCTTTTGCGTAAACAGTTCAGGTTTCTGGATATGGATGTCAAGAGCTTCGGAGATGCTTAGAATACCAAGGCATACAGCCTTTGGAAGGTTTTTTTAAAACTATATAGATGACTTTGAACGAGGAGGTTCTTGAGACAGGGTAATTCGTGTTCACGATGTGTTCAATTATAGCACTCCTTATCGCTTCACTGTTACGACCAGTATACCTGACTCCAAAAGAGCAGGTAGATTGTACATAGAACTGACCAGATGTGAAAGTTTTCCTTTGAGTTGTTAGAAATCGCTGGGCGACGAGAGATTACCAGTCTCAGCGTTGATGCAAGGAATGTTCTCCTTAGAGCGCTTGATATCTTGGATTTTAGAGTCTCAGTGGCAGAATCACCTTTGAAGTTTAGATTCATATAGATTGTCTTTTTTAGGATGGTGGTAAGGTTCTGTTTGGGAGGTTTAGGCTTGATGTTTTTGTCTATGAAGCGTGGTGGGAATCCGTTTTCAATCAGGATGTTCTTTAGAACAGAAATTTCCTCTTGCAACACATGGGGACTGCAGATCCGTCTAATGCGAGTGGCAGAGATATGATCAGATTTCGCTTACGACTCAGGGACCAAGCTATCAAAGTTCATCAATTGACCATTCCACATTGTTAATCTACTTAATATTCCATCAGTTCTTGTTAGCTCTGCATCAAGAAAGTGAGTCGTCGATCGATTCTCAATCTCAAGGGTGAATCTAGTTGCTGAATGACAGTGATTGAATATTTGTAGAACATAATTCAAATCATATTGTTAGACACAGATAGTAAAAGTATCGTCCATATACCTTTTGTATTGTGGCTAAAGTATCTCATGTAGATAACTTTTGATGCAGTCTGTAATCCCAACGTGAGCAGTTTTGCTTATGAAGAATAAATAAAATATCCATCTTCAATAGGTTGATACACTAAGCTATGAAGTACTTTCAGTGAGAAAAGGTTTATGGCAATACTTTGTTTTAGATAGAAATAGGTGCTTCTGGGTTAGTAGTTGGTGCTCCTATAATTAAATATTGAGTCATAGGTGAACTGCATAAATATCCATATACCAAAATTTTAAGTCCTGTAAAATTTTGCAGTTTAATCAGAGGAACCATACTCACAGTGTGAGGCTTAAAATGATACCTATCCGATTGGAGAAGAAGAGTTTAAGAACTTGACCTACTAGTTGAAAGTCAACTCCCTAAATCAATGAGCCACACCTCTCTCTACTACCAAATAGAGAAGTAATCGATAATGTTGATACTTAGTATTTTGAATCGATTTAGTCTCCTTTCATTTACCACCTTTTAGACTGCTAACAACGAACATGAAAATACTGATGAAAATTTCACTGCTCAACAATATTTTAAACTATACTCACAAAAAATTCTTATTGAAGCTGTTCGTCGTTTAATGCATAGTCCTATTTGTGTACCAGTCCCCTGTCAACCAAATGAAGATAATCTAAGCTATTTTTCTAAATCTGTTTTTGGATCAGATTTTTCTGCTTTGGGTAAGCAATTTTTTCAACCAAAAAAAAAAAGATTTTGGGTTTTTCATAGGTCAATTGTTGTTGGTTTAGTATTTAAGCTTGGTTGCGAAAAGTCTCATAACTACTATTGTATACCTACCTTTCCGCTGTTTCAAATCCACACAGTCATCTTTATGCTACACACTTCCGGATAGCACTAATATATTCCGTTGGCGTTTTTTTCAGTTTGACGATGCGGTCTGAGAAATGTATTGAAAGAATTTACGTCACACCTCGTTACAATTCTGTACTGTTCAGTTTTCTATTCGGATATCCATGTAGGATGATGAATGTGCAAATGATTTACAAATTACATGCTTTACACTAATATTTCTCAAATCTGAGTAGTTTTTCAACTACTGAAGTTGTTTAGTAGTTTACTTTGTTAGTTCATGACACTTTTGTGTCAGAAATAGCACCTTGCGATTTTTTCTGGGTGGTTTCCAACCGAAAAGCTTGTTGATACTACAATGAGGCAGTTGAAAAACTACTCAGCCGTGAGAAATGTCAAGGTTGATCGTGCAATTTGTAAATTATACATAAATTCGGCTTTGTAAGCTGAATATGTCCGGGTACATTACTGATCAGCCTGGCCCCAAACGAGCTAAAAGGCCATCTGGTGTTTAGATCACTATGATCTGCCTGCCTGAGAGTGTTTCCTAGCTAGTCAAGTCGTCCAACAACATACTTCGTATATCCGCATAGTTGTTTCTTTCTGACGAAGCGGCCTAAGTTAAAAACAGTATGTAATTTTAAATTGACTGTAAAATTCGTTAGTAACTAGCATCCTCCTTAGTTGGTAGGTTGAAGCTAACTATCGCTCTACTCTGTCGGTATTCTCTCATATTGCTGAGTTGATGCTCATTGGCCTAGACATTCACTTTTAATCGATGGATCACAAGTTTGATCCCAAGGCTTGATTAAATGTTGAGGATGAAATGAACCATTATCACTGGTACGTTGGCGCCAGCTAGTGGGGAAGCACTATAACTATGGAAATCTAACAAACAGCGTGAAATGCCAAGAGGTAGCAAAAAAGGCTATATAAGCACAGAAAGTAAATAATATAATGTATTAAGATAAGCATACCTTTTCAAACTGCTCTGAGCAACTTACTGGTGTTATGTTGAAAACCTTAGTCAGTGGTCGTATACTTCGACAACATGGTTCATACGAACGGACGGTGATTTCATGTGACTGTTTTTTAACTGAGACGAAACATTCTGAGACCTACTTCATCATACTGATATCTACATGAAGATTTTACCTTAACCATTTCATTTAGTACACGTTTTTTAAAACTTATCAACCGACATAGTTGTGTCATGCATTCAATTCCCTTGACAAATTGAACAATGCAGGAACAAAAACATTTGGGGAATAAAATGAGCTCACTTTATTTCATGACCTTTCATCAACTGCAAACAGCCTACAATTGAAATGACGTATTAGTAGTAATATTGGCACGACATACTTTGAATATATATAAATAAATGAAGATTTGAAATCCGGGATTAATAATAAGGTAGTGGGTTCACCACTAGGACCAATCCTAGCTCATATATTCATGATTCATCTCGAGCGGAAAAAGTCTGAACTGTGTTATCAGGGAGACGATATATTACTTCAGGTATGTCGATGATACTTTTATTGTTTGCGATAATATGAGTCATTCGTTAAAGTTGTTCGACACCTTCAATCAAGCTTATCTAAATAATAATTTTACAATGGAATACGAAAATGAGGACAGATTCGACTTTTTTGATCTAAGTATAAGACGAAGAAGTGATGGTACAGTTGAGTAAGCTATCCATAAGATAGACATGTGGATTAGTCAGTACCTTCAATACATTAGTTTCTGTCCTGTCAGCTGTAAGCCTGATTTAGTCAGGACGCTATTCAGTACAGTAAAAACGCTGTGCTCAAAAGACAATTAAGAAGAAAAATTCGAGATAATTGAGGAGACTCTTATAGAGAATAGATATCCAAAGAAATTCACCATGAAGCATGGAAAAGAATTTATTGAGACTAAAATATTCAACTGTTAAGATGAAGAAGAAGCCTATTTTCCTTCGTCTAGCATTCAAAGGTGATAAAACATATGAAAGAATAGACAGAAGAATAAAAACTGCACTGAGAAGGAGTTACCCTGCTGCCAGACTGATCTTAGTTTACAATACGTTATGCTCAATTATTTAGTCAAAAGTAGATAAATACCCATTTCACGTCACCTCCCAGTGCATATGTCAATTCACTTGTGCTTATGGAAGGAAGTACATGGGACAAATCAAAAGAAGGGAGTCTAGTTGACTTTATAAGCATATTCCGAGAAATCTGTATCTGAATGGTAGCAACGTATTTAAGAGCGCATTCGCTAGGCATCTGTTGGAAACAGGACATCAAATAGATATTTCTCAATTCTTGAGGATAATCAACAAACAAAGAAGACCATGTTTATTACGGTTCGCGCAAGCTCTTGCTATCAAACATTTTCAACCTGACCTATGTACTCAGAAGGAGGCTGTAATTAACCTTTCTTTACCCTTGAGTAAATGTATATAATTTTTTCATGTGTATGTATATAGTCATCCCTTTTCTTTCTTTTGATTGCATCATCTCTTCATTAATTACTTATTGAATATTAATCACTTAGCGATTTTAAGAGTTTTCATGCAATTACGTAACCTATTAACTCTTAAACAGTCCCTTATTTTACACTGATTTTCGTTTGTTGTCCTCCCCACTCCACAACTCCAGATTCTCTATCTCATCAGATATAAATTGCCATTGATTTTGACTAAGATATATAACTGTTAATCTTGTGTTTTTGAGATGAATGGAAATTTTAATTTTAGAAGTAGTATTCATCGTGGACGGATATCAGGTCCTGAGTTCGATCCCTATCCGGGTCATGGGTGCGTACTGCTGAGGAATTCCATACTAGGACGAAACAGCTGTCCAGTGCTCCCAGATTTTCAATGGTTCTCCAACTGATGTCAGTCCATGATGAATACTACTTCTAATATTAATTTTGTGTTTGCTTGACTTTACTACCTTATTGTTAATCCTGGATTTCAAATCTCCATTTATTTCTGCGTGTTTAAGGTATGTTATGTTATTATTAGTACTACTAATACTTCATTTCAATTGTAGGCTGTTTGCAGCTGATGAAAGGCTATGAAATAAAATGAGCTCATTTTTATGTTAAACTTTTTTTTAAAAAAAACTGAAATTTTCTAATTTTCATCAACAATTATTCAATGATTTTCATCGGTTTCATTTTATTTTATATGCAATATATATATAGTCATAGAAAGAGGTATTTATGAGCGTCCATTTCGTGTTTTGGCCGGTCTTACCGATAATACGGATATTACAAATGGGATTTTAGATAATATCTTATTAGATATTATGTGGTACACATATAAAAATTATTTAAAATTACGTTGGCAGACTACATGTTGGTTAAATTCTAGTCAAATAACAAGCCTACGTCGTGAATACACTTCAACTGTATCAGATTTAGTGAATCGTCCTAGTTTAAATGAAACTTTATTATCAAGCAATATGATCAGTTTAATTAAAGAACATATTTTAATTCGTGACAGCGCAAAACCATCCAGTTTACGTGAGTTTTTTCAATTGATTTGAATAGTTTTTTTCAATTTTTTAAATCTTCATCAAATGTTTTAATGTCTGTATAGTTTGAATTGCGATCCTGTAGAAAGATAATTTTCGAAAGGTTTAGAAGAAAACTTCAAAATTTATATTGATGTGGGATTTCGGTTTTATAAATTGTTATTCACGTTGAATCTCGATATTATTAACTTTCAGATGATGGAGAATACTTGTTGCTTAGGAGGATGTTGTTGCGTTCTCTGAGTTGGATGGTTTAATCATGAAGCTTTCATTGTCATCCTAAACAACCTCATCAGTACAAACCTTAGAATGAAGTGAATCATGTGGTTTTCTCCACAAGTGACCTAGTAGTTTGTTCTGATGGCCTTGTATGTGATTGGTTGTCCTGCTGACATGAACACTAACCTTCTTATCGTTTCTTATTGGTTGGTAGTTTGGGTCAATGTCAATATATCTGTTGATCGCTGACTGACGTGAATGCAGAGTTTCTATCTAGGATTTACGTATTTTTCTGAGTTTGGATCCAGATGAGAATTCCTGACTGGGTACCCAATCTGAATACGATGCACGGATAGTAATATATCACGAATTAATATGGAAGTCGAACAAAACCATTAGTGATTGAAATGAAATTAAGATCTGTTCAGCAGTTGGGTTTTGTAGCTCAGTTAGCAGAGTACGGGGCCGGAAAGCCGGTGGTCGCTGGTTCGAATCTTGACACGACCTGGATTTCCGTTTCACCTTCAGTTATCACCCAGTAAGTATAACAGGTTATCAACTTGTCTGTCTGATCACTCTCAAAGTATCAGGGGGTGTATGTGATAATTATTCAAGGCAACCAAAGCAGTAACTAAGGGATAGACTAATTGCATAGTACAGTTTTTGGAATTTCAAATAGCTTATTATATAACTGATTGTTTGTATAATAGAGACTGAAAAGAAAAGAAAATGCATTATGACAAGTGATCAATTTTTGATGGTAATAAAAGAGACAACAGAGGAAACGATGAGATAGGTGAAACTGTAATGATGATAATGAAAAAATTGTAGTCGTTTGCAGGATGAACAAAGGGAAGAATGCTGTTTTTTGTGGACAAGCTGTAAAGACGGTCAAGTCACTGAAAGAGGCTGTAGGAATTTCATTTGAACACCCAGATTTGGTTTATTCAGGCGGATTCCGATGGCTTCTGTCCTATATAAAAAGACGAACTCTTAGAGCATGGATAAGATTGGAAGGAATGTGGTAAATAACTTTAAAGGCGTTACAAATAATAACATGGTGACCAGTGTCAATTAGATGAGAGCGTATTAAGCTTCTTATGGGTCTTGTTTGTGTTGTACTTAAGCATGGCAGATGATATCCGGCAGTTCGACGACGGACTTGTCTAACTGTACGCCCAATATAATTAGTTCCACAAGAGTAGTTGAACTGGTAAATGTACATAGGAGAAGTGATAGTCCAATGAAATCTTAGTGAGTAGAAGTTCAAACTTTTTAGCTTCATCACAGTAACGTCCCTACGGTCAACAATAGATATTTATATGTATTTTTGAGATGAATGGGGATTTTTAATTAAGAAGTAGTATTCATCATGGACTGACATCAGTTGGGGAACCATTGAAAATCTGGTAGCACTGGACAGCTGTTTCGTCTACCTAGTATGGGACTGCTAAGCGGTACGCACCCACGACCCAGCTAGGGGTCGGACTCAGGACCTTCACACGTTTCACGTTTCACGCGTTCGCCGTGAAACCTGAATCTTGCCTGGGTCCAAATTTTCGTATCACTTTCAATCATCCCCCGGTGTCAGTACAGGTCTGTCAAACCACAGTTATCTTATTCATATGTTCAAACTGATGATTTTGCTTGGATCAGAATTTAAAGTGACATTAAAGAAAATCTCAGGTCAAGCACAAGTGGGTGTTTACGATTGTGATCAGTTTTAATTTAAGTTTTTTCTTTTTTTTTTGTGTTTCAGAAACTTGAATAAAAAACATTGATAATTCTTAAGCCGAATGTTAACTCATTTAGTAAACACTTTTTATGAGGTCATCCTGAAAACTTCTTATCTATACTCATGTTAACTATCATTAATATCGGCATACGACCAGGCGTTACTGCGTAATGGTCCGAGTTGCCACACCTCATATCAGTAGATCAAGTAAAAAGGCAGTGAAGTGCAAGATGAAGATAAAAAAATTCAGTGAGAAGAAATATGAAGTACGAGGAGAGAAAGGAAGAATGAGAAAATGGTGATATTGTGTATGGCGTTGTTGAGATGAGGATAATGTGTGTATACATCTGCACCAGTGACATGGATTGTGAGCCATGTGATCACCTAGAGTCAGTCTCAAACCACTTGTTCCTCTTGTCCAGTGGACCCCAACCACCTAGTCTGCATCACCCCACATGGCTCAAACCAACAGTGAGAGACTTCATGCACTGATGCCATGTCATAGTCTGGTCGCTCTCAGGCTTTTTCCAGCTTCAACCTACTGCCTCCAACATTGTGTGATGAGGCGATTGGCGACTAGGCATACGCAACACATGTCAGAGCCAAACATCTGAGTCAATGATGGTTCATAACCTCGTCTACTGATTTACCTCTTCTGCGTAAAACTCTGCACCTGACTTCTGCATTACTCATGTGGTGACACCACGGAATACGGCGTATACTACGAAGGCAACGGTGGTCAAACATCTGAAGCCAGTTTTCTCATGTCTTCCACCTTAAATGGTCATATTTCACAGCCATAGAGTAGAGGAGACTGGGCTGCAGTGCAGTACATGCAAGCCTTAATCGACAATCGGATATCACTATGGCGCCATAGGTGGTGTAAGTTGGTGAAAGCCAACTGAGCCTTTTGTATTCGTGCATAGATTTCATGAGGCACTGAGCCACCAGGATAGGGCTGATCCTACTTCCCAGGTAAGTGAAGTAAGTGTTCAGTGCGTTCAATTTCGTGGCTTAATTCATGTTGACCTAATAAATAGAAACCTATGTTACAAATAATTTAGTTAACTCAGGCTTTTGGGTGGTGGGTCATTGGATTTGGCGCTTCAGTCCTTAATCTATACATGACAGCTACACACTATCCCTACTTGTTGAGATGTTTTGTGACCGGATGGCATCAGACGTATCCTTCTAATAACAGATATAGCTCATTTTGTGTTATACTGACTCGTGGGTATACGTTTACTGAGTGAGCTGCATTTATTATTTATATTATTGCTGGCTTATTCGTCAATCATGGATAAAAATGCGATGGGTAAAAGCATCTAATTACTATCCAAAACACATAATGCGAACGGATATCCGTTGGAGTTTATAGACCGTTGTAGAGGTCAGGGAGCACCGAAGCCAACTGTATACACTGTTCCTAAGAAAAACGTCCATATAAAAAACTCTGTCATACAGGGGGAAGTTGAATAGACTAATTTCGAGACGTAGGCTAACATCAGCCATTAAAAAAAACATATTACGCACCTAATCTTATCATTGTGGAAAGAAAAACGTATGTTTCACCACAAACCGAAACGTTGCACTGACGATTACGTCACATCCCATTGTATTTATCAGTCTACAAGTGTGTCTGGTCACACATACATATAGAGGAGTAATCGAGCCATGCAGCTGACGACTGGAGAACATGTACCCAAGTGGCTTCAAAAACAAATGGGGTGTGAAACCATGATGAACGCTGGTGGGAGACAACCCTCTTCATCTATACCTAAACATATATATTGAAACAGGTCACAAAATTTATATTCAAACAGCTTTCAGAGTTTTATATAGAAACAGTCACGTGCGTATACCGAGATTTATGGGAACCATAGCCATACACAAATTGAAACCATCTTTATATATGTATGCAAAAACACTATACCTACCTTGGTAAACTTTGTTTTCTTACCAAGATTTGGACGAACTATGTCACTCTCTTTTTGTTCTCATCTTTAGTCCCCTATTATCTTAACTGTTACAGTTGTAATCCCACTCTTCGGCTTAAAATAAATTGACTTGACAAGTAAATGTGTGGTCAGATTGTTCGAAATGTATTGCGCAAATATATCACATTGTTCAGATAAACTTCGTCTTCAAATTACACCATCTAAGTTCATAAAAGGGACTAATTGTTTCCAATTGTGGATACAATTTACTGTTCATATTCACATCAGATAACTCCACCACTTTGAAGCATGGCTTATATTGTACTAATTCTCTCTCCTACGTTTTGACGAAAGTGGCAGATTTTTTCAGATACTTGGAACAGGTACTGAATCATCCTGTTCGGCATGTATTCGGTTTTGATTCCATTAACAAAGTTTTAGTTATCATTTTGATTATCTGAGATAGCCGTGATTTGACAGACTAGTATTGATACTGGATGATGATTGTAAGTAAAATGAAAATTTGAACCGCGGCCGGATTCGAACCAGCGATTACCGGGTTTCCGGTCCGATGCTGTACCAACTGACCTATGAGGTCCAACTGTGCAATCAGTGTGAATACGATCAAGCGATAGTAACGCGTCACGAATTTGCATGGTAGTCGGGCAAAACCCATGGTGATTGGATTGAAATAAAAATTTGGTCAGCAGTCGGACCTCTAAGCTGAGTTGGTAAAGCATCGGGCCGGAAACCCCGATGGTCGCTGGTTAGAATCCCGCCGCGGTTCAAATTTCCGTTTCATCTTCAGTCATCATCTAGTATCAAAGATTTAGTTATCAGTCCTTCACTCCACCCGGCTAAGTTTTTAACACTGTCGCTTTATCCCACCCCATTGCCTGATTGTGTTGAATTGTGTACATAGCTTTAGCGGAGCTTTTTTCTAGTTTCCTTATCTTACTAGGAACCACCAATTTTGATTTAGGTAAGCTTTTGTGGTCGGATAGTCTAATTGGCTCTGGTCGGCTAATTCGACCTATGTATTTGAGCTTATGATTGTTGCAAAGGATTTGGTAAACGAAATTATTCCACCTAATTGGATCAATAGGATTTTTTAACGTATAATGAGTTTGTAGGTTTAAATGCCACTTTGATTCCAGCTTTAGAGAGAACTTCCCTCTTCACAAGCTGACTGTTATTATTATTATTATTATTACTAGCACCTGTGATGCAACTATAGCTCATATGAATTTATTGATAAACTTAAATGGGCAGTTATTATTGAGACACGGTATCGTTAATCTGTCGGATTTCTTGTAGGAGATTCTTTGTCCTACCAGTAAGCCTTTTTGCCGTATTACTTAAACATTTATACTAAGCGGTGGTTGGAAGTGAAATGAAAAATTGGGCCGTGGCAGGATTGGAACCACCTACCACCGGGTTTCCAGCCTGGTGTTCTACCAACGGATCTACGAAACCCGACTGCTAATCAGATATTTATTTTACTTCAATCACTAAGGGTTTTGTTTGACTGTCATGTGAATTCGTGTCGTGTCACTATCATACTGGCATCCCAGTCAAGACATCTCATCCCTATCTAAATCGAGAGGAATTAGAGGGGGGGGGGAAGCATCATATTGATTATCATTTCGACTATCTGAGATAGACGCGCTTTGGCGGACTGATAATGAGTGATAATTGAAGTTGACATGAAAATTTTGGCTACGTCAGGATTCAAGCCAGTGATTATCGGGTTTACATCTTGATACTCTACCAATCAGATTTTTATTTCACTCCATTTAATTAAAGCTACTTTAATTAAGATTGGGTGTGCTGACGCGAAGTTTAAGAGTATCGATTCGAATAGGAAGGCTTCCTATAAAACATAGTGTCTACTATCGAATATCACTTACTATTTGTCATAGGTTTTACTCCTGTGTTGTTATATGACATAAGTGACCTTGATATTGTACCGTTCATCTTCTTGATTTACATTTAGTAACCAAATAATTATTATTGGGATAAGGTACATTGTGACTTTTGTTTGTTTTTTTTTTAAAAAACCCTATTTCTTCTCCTAAATTCGTCTTTTGTTACAGGAATCGATGATCAAAGCAGGCATGTTTCGACATTGAATTCAGAATATGATACATTTTCTACAAATGATTCAGTGGATAGAGAGGATTCACTATCACCTCTTTCAACTAGTAAAAAGTATTCAAACCAACCAGTTAATCATCATAATGATACTAGTATAACTACAAATGTTGTTGATGAATTCCTACGTACAGCACACTTATTTTTTAGTAATATGAATAATGAATTTTTATGGAGATTTATTGAAAATCAGTTTACTGAATTAATAAATATGTCAGGGAAAAAAGAAGAAATTATGTTATTATCATCATCATTATCAATAACAAGAACAACAATGAGTATAGACTATAAGGATTGGGAACAGCCAATATTAAAATTATCATTAATTCAATGGTGTTCTGTAATACATTTTCTGTTGAATTGTTTACCAATTGATATGTATCCTGGTGTTTGTGGTTGTTACCTACCGCGTTTAATCACTCATTTAACTAGTTGTCTAATTGAGAAGCTTCAAGGTAATTGTGAAAATGGTCATGGTTATCATCATCAATCTAGTGAAAATATATTGTCAAGGGAAATCAACTCTACAGATTATAGATTGACACGTTCAGAATGGGCCAGTATAATTGGTTGTTTAGATACAATTGTACATCATATACGAGAGGTTAGTATTAATTTGTATTTATGAATGGATGATTTGTTAATTGAACTTTCATAAAGTATACGTTTTTCTGTAAATGGCTGTGTGTGTATGTGTATGTGTAAACTAAAGCGAAGATTATTTGAACCAGAAGTTTTTAGCTCACTGTCTTAGTGATCTTACGGATCAAGCTGATAGACCTAATAGCTAACGACCTGGTTGCTGACGAAATCTCACCTTGGATACAGAAAGTTTGTTTGGCATTTGCTAACTTGCATCATCTGTGGCGCCGACTGATGAGATAACCGATTATCTATCAAAAGACGAGTATATTGCGCTACAGTCCGTTCTATCCAGTTATACGACTGGGAGAGATGACCGTTAAAAGTAGGAGACATCAAGTAGTTACAGGGTTTTTGATCACTAGTGTCTTCGTAGAATCGGAAAAGCAAGACAGGCATTCATTAGCCTGAAACCAGTCTGGAGATCTTCTGCACTGAGCATGTGGAACGAGATCCGGATTTTCAACACCAAAGTCAAGCCAGTGCTTCTATGTGATGGTTCAGAGACTTGGCACGTTACGAAAGGGATTTCCAATAAACTACAGACATTCATCAACAACTGCTTACGCTGGCTCGCTACTGAAGATCAGATGGCCAGAATAACAAGAATAAGCAACAAGGAGCTCTGGGAACGAACCAACCAAGAACCTATCACTCAACATATATGCAGGAGGAAATGGAGATGGATTGGGCATGCACTGAGAAGGCCGACTGGGGACATCACGCGTCAGGCCAGACCGTGGAGTGGAACTCCAATGGGAAGCGACGAGTTGGGCTTCCGAGGCGAGGGTGACATGAAGGAGATCAGAGATTGTGCGAGGAGGAAATGAGAGCTTGTGAGCTGTCGTGGAACCAGGTTCAAAAGATCTCAGAGAACGGAGGTCACTGGAGACGTGCTACTGAAGCCCTATGTTCCACTAGGAACCCAGGGGACTAATAATATAATAATAATATAGTGTCTTCGTAGCATTGCTCATGATTGGTGGAATCACCGTATGAGCAGTGTTAACGTCGAACGAAGGGTGCTAAGCGGCAAGATAGAAAAGTCGATTGATGTGGTTGTAAATCCTAGTCGACTGAGATGACTTGGACATGCAGTGCGCATGCCGGGATAGCCACTGCTCACCTCGATGCACAGTGCTAGGGAAAGCTGGATTAGATCAGGACAGGGTCCAGTTTACAACGTCAACGACTGTTGGTCTGAGCCATATACAGGGATGTAGACTGCCTGGTTGGTTTCCTCGAGACGATACGAATTAGCAGTTGAAAAATCTTAGGTGACATCGCTGGTAATTGGTGACGATGACGCAAATGTATTCACTCCTTGACTATTCATACCAACCATTGTCTTCAGATCGTTTATTCTCTTACACAACTTTATCTACTTTGATATCACTTTTTCTATCCACCTGTAAACTACTGTAAGGCGTGACAACTTGAGCCGATGCACTTGTTTGTGAGGCTCTATGTTGATTCTCTGTCTGTCCTTAGTAAAGTGATGTGTTTACACAAATGTGTTACCGGTAGCTAAAAGAGGTCTTGGATGATTCAAGTGGGATTATAATCTAGCTAGTGTTAGCAGCATATTTTCTCTCTTAATCAGCCAGCCAGCATCGACGTGGTTCTTGTATGTTACGACGTAGTAGTTGAAGTTATCAAACCTTAGATCAGCATATCAAGATAGAGAGGGATTAATGGAAGGATATATGGAGAGGGAGGTAAGTAGTCAGAAGCACTAGGAAGTCATAAAAAGAGTCGAAGGGATAAAACAATAATGAAATGTGATGTAAGCATTAAGACGGAGATAACATGTGGATTCTGATCCATATCTCCTAGAGTCTACAACCATTGATTTCGGTTGTCACGCGGACCTCGACTTGGTAGTCTGTACGCCCCGTCAACAATGTTGAGACCAATGATCAGATACTTCACTTATCTCACCTGTTTATTAATAAAAAGCCTGCTACTTAAACATGTCTGAAATAATTTGATTATTTATTTATCCCTAGGTCCTCGTATCTAATTCTGGTCAATTTGTTTTAAGCTGGTTATATTTAGCTAGATAGTCAGTGTTATCTACGGTGAATAATACACTTCATTCACTGGAATGAAATAGATTTTGTTGATAGTTTGGTCTTGTAGCCTTGGTAAGTAACGACTGAACTGTCGATTCAAATATGTTCACGATTTAAGTCCGCTTTCATACTGAGTCATCATTCCTTCGATAGCACAAACCTAAGTAACCATAGTCGCTAGAAATTGTCAGAGTTGTGACATGAATCCAGACAAAATGCATTGAACACTGTGTAGTGAAATCGTCCAGTGTCCAATTTCAAGGTCATTTCGAAAACTTTAGGTCCGGAAAAATGAATCATTTGATCAATTTATTAACTTATACTTTTTCGTCTATCCCTTCTAATCAAAAAACAACTTTGACTGTATTAAGAACAAGGCAGATATAGTTTGTGTATTGTGAGACACCATTCCACGAAGTCTTAGGCTATAGGTCTAAGTCGTACTAGGGAATAGTGTCCTCCTAGCAAGGATACACAAAATAACCGAAGCTGGTGATTTGAGGCTGTAAGTGATGTGGTTCAGAATCAACCTCAAAGGTGCAAATGTATATACACCTTAGTCGGGATTTCATAATTTGCTTTTCGCCATATTCTTTTTGCTTTATGGCTTTCCTCAACCTCTAATTAGGCCATTTTCATTCTTCACTATTTCCTCTCTTTTTACCTGCTACTTTGATATTCTAGTATGCGGTGTGGTAACTCGTTCCACTTCGCACTGATAACGCTTCGTGTATTGACTGACAATACTTGTCCATTTATGAAGGCATTTCCTACCTATCTTATTCTTGTGACACTGTAAACTTTTTTGGCTGATCTCATAGAGAAATATTAAGTATCGGTAGTTAAAGATGGATGAAAATAGAAAGCTACCTAGCTGAACGGAAAATTTGCTGTAAAACTATATGAAGTAAGTAGTGCTTAAAAATCATCAGTTTCTATTTTCTAAGCCTTAAGACAGGCTTGGAAAAACACTTTGTGAATGAGGGAAAATATTTTGGATAATGCAGTATATTCTGAACTTAGTTTAGCTATCTGAACATCGTTAGGTGGAGCTGCCTTCGAATCCGTGCCCCATCAGTTGTCAGTAGAATGCCTAGATTGAAATAGGTGAAATCACTCAATTTTTATGCTGGCAAATGCACACTTCTGCTATGAATTATGGTAACTTGAACGGATGGACTTGTGTGTGTGTGAAGTTCTACATTGATTTTGTCATAAAAGTTGAACATCACCCATTTATCATCTTGAGCCTAGTGATCTCACCGTGTGAGGTTGAGTGTACAATACTGAGAAATCTTAAAGTTGGGTGAAACAGTTATCCAGCTGTCTTGATTTCAGATTCTTTATATATATATATATATATATATATATATATATATATATATATATATATATATATATATATATATATATATCATTCTGTCAGTAGCTTTTTCGTGTTTCTGTCTTCAGTAAGCCTTGTGGAATACATCTTATTTCATAAATTTTTCTAATGGTTTATGCAATTAAGAAGCAATTGATTCAACCATTTCAATGCATTTTTTTGAAATATAAGCGTAAAACTTGGTTAGCTACTATGCCAGAATGTGATTCCATTTTATTGTTGATTTATTAAGCGTTATCACCCAGCGAACATAAGCTATATAAACTGTTTAGGTTTCATGATTCCTGTCCTATTGATAGTTTTGCAATAGAGAATGTTACAGGTGTGATATAATATCTCGATGTGTTTTTCTTCATACCTTTTGTAGTTCTCGCGTAGTTTAATAACTTCCAAAAGAATCTTCCACCTAACTAAACTATGTTAGCAGTATCTAGCTTAACTCATCCTCTCTTCTTGTATTTTATAAACTTCTGCATCTTACCTATTCTCCTCTATTTATTCCCCTTTATTCTTTCCCGGGTTGTTATATTGCGTAGAACTTAGGAGATTATCATCAACAGAACTAGTGGTGTACATCTAAACCTTCTAGTTAAGACTGTTGTGGACAAACATAATAGTTCATGTAAACATCTGGTAAGAGTTATTAGATGACCAAAATTCTCTTCATTCAAAGCTCTCTGCTTGTCGGTCATCTGAAAAGACAAGGAACAAGTATAGAAGACTTTACGCATGTACGCATGTATGGAGTTAATATTCTCATTTTTTATGTCTGTAATTTCAACTTATTATTTATACGGATACACTCTTTCTGTCCAATTGATGGTATATGACATGCTGTATAGTATTTTAGAAATATCTTTCAGAATAAAACCATTATTATCATTATTATTGTCACTATTATTATTACTATTATGTTATGATTTACTGTGTTACGTTTCTGACCCAGTTTATTGCCCGTGGTTATGTCGAGATGTCTATGAAACGTAATCCAGTAGATTATTATTTGTCCCTTGGGTTCCTAGTGGAACATAGGGCTTCAGTAGCATGCCTCAATTGCACTCTGTTCTCTGCAGTCTTTTCAACCTGGCTCCACCACTGCCCATAAGCTTTCATTTCTTCCTCACATGATCTCCTCCATGTCACCCTTGCCTAGGAAGCCGAACTCGTCGTTTCCCCTTTGGATTCCACTCGAGGGCGTGGCCTAGGATGTGATGTCTCCGAATGGTCTTCTCAGTGTATGCCCAATCCATCTCCACTTTCTTCTGCGTATTTATTGGGTGATAGGTTCTTGCTTCGTTGGTTCGTTGCCAGTCAGCCAGTCAGTCAGTCAGTCAGCCAGCCAGTTCCTTGTTGCTTATTCTTATTATTCTGGCCATCTGATCTTCAGTATCGAGTGAGCGTAGGTGGCAGCTGTCGATGTATGTCTGTAGTTTGTTGGAAATGCTTTGTGTGACGCTCCAAGTTTCTAAACCATATAGGAGCACTGACTTGACGTTGGTATTGAAAATCCGGATGTTGTTCACGCTTTGTGCTGAGTGCAGTAGATCTCCACACTGATTTCAGATGAATTAAAGCCTGTCTTGCTGTTTTTCCGATCCTGGTTTTGACATCCTGGTCTGTGCTACCTGTGGTTGAAACGATGCTGCTGAGGTAGGTGAAAGAGACAACTTCCTTAAGATTTCTCACGTTGATGGTGATTGTTGTTGTTGTTGGTTGGATATCTTCATCATGTCTGTCTTCTCTACGTTCACCTGAAGGAAGTCCCGTCTTCGTTACCCTACCTCTTCTGTCAAGGTGTTGGTGTTTGCCTATGGATCTTCGAGTTTGTATGACATTAGACATGAATCTGCATTAACGAAAATCAAATCTTCTTCTGGGGTCTTTTCACCGGTCCAGCCAGCATATGCCTATCTTCTCGCTCCTTACAGTTGTTTGCTGCATGATCCAGTCGACCACTATCAGGAAGATGATCGGTGATAGTGGGTGGCAATCTTGTCTTACTCCTGTCTTCACTTCAAAGGCATCACTGAGCTTTCTATTGTGGATCACTTGGCATGTGGAGTCTTCATATGTCTGTTGAATGAGCTTCATACAGGATTGTGGCACTAAAACTGTAGTGTTGAAGCAGCTTCCAAATTACTTCTGTGTCGACGCTATCGAAGTGTTTTTCAAAGTCGATGTAGTTGAGGTAGAGAATTGAGTTGACTGCCATTCTATGCTGTATTCTATGATGATGCGTAGCGTAGCGTTGCAATTTGATCAGCACATGATTTGTTCTTCCTGAATCCAGCCAGCTTGTTCCAGTCGTAATTTTGAATCCAATGCATCTTTAGTTTCTCCAGGATGATGCGGCTTAATATTTTGCTTGGAGTGGACAACAGCATGATTCCATACCAGTTCTTGCAAAGGCTTAGATCTCCCTTCTTTGGAAGTTTGACAAGGTAGCCCTTCTTCCAATCTACCCACCCTTCCCTATTTACCCGGGCTTAGGACCGGTCAGTAACTAGTAACCTAGTTACATAGGGGAGGGTAATCCAGTAGATGACACTATTTCACTGTATAATTTATCTAATCATAAAACAACTAAGATGAAAGGCGTTTCTTTGTTGATCTCAGAATGTTCATTATTTTATCTTTATGACAACCTTATTTATACTGTTTTGCTTATGATTTTTCTTTTTACAAAACATGTAAATATCTTTCTTACCATTTTATGTATATGACAGTATGTAGTGACAATGTTTGATCAACTGTCAATTCCAGTAAATTTTAAACGTCAAATAGAAAATAATCAAATTTCTGAAGAGTTAATGATTATAGCAAAAGCTGTTGGTCAATTTCGACGCTTTCTTGGTATATTTTGTGTTCATGTTCTAAATTTTTCACCAATGAAGGTCAGTTTCTGTTGTTAAAAATGAATACTTTGTAAATACTTTTGTGTATCGTGTTGTATCGTTTTTTTGTCACTAATGAGTACAATGTCGAGTATAATGGTATAGTCATTCGATGTTTCATGAACATATCACTAATTGTAGACTTTCTTAAAACCTTAAAAGCTTTTGACAAAGCAAGTAGTCCTGTTCGATACTTGCCAACTTGCATCATCTATAGCGCTGACTCTTGAGATATCCAATTAACCTATCAAAGAATGAGTATACTGCATTGGTTCAGTCCATTCTGTCTTGTTATACGTCTACGTTATGGCTTTTGATAGCAGAAGACCTGAAGCGGTTACAGGTTTTTGATCACTGCTGTCTTCGTAGCATTGATCATGTTTGATGGGATCATCGTAAGACTAATGTTGAAGTCAAGCGAACGGTACTAAACTGCAAGACAGACGAATCGATTGATGCGGTTGTGAATTCAACTCGACTCAGATGACTCAGAAACGTACTGAGCATGTCGGGTGAGCCACCACCTACCTCGATGTGCAATGCTAGGGAAGTTGGATTAGGTTCAGGAGTGGTCAGACGAGGATGTGACAGCAGTCAATGGAGTCTCTAACTGTTGGTCTGAGCAGTATAGTGAGATATAGACTGTGTAGCTGGGATCCCTAAGACCAAGAGAATCTGTGGTTGAAGACTCTTGATGACATGGCTGAAAATCGGTGACAACGGCGCTCACTCCTTGACATCTTCTATAGCTTGAGTATTCACACTGACCGTTATCTTTAGATTTTTTTTATTCTCTCACACTACTTGATCTACTTCAATATCACTCTTTTTCTATCCAGCTGGTCTTTGAATACTACTGTGAAGTATGGCAACTTAAATCGAAGTAGTTGTCTGCTTGGTTCTGTGTTAGTTCTATCTATCTGTCTGTTTGATGAATGTTATTCGCTGTTCAGTGTTAGTTGAATTCTTCGACTTTCGGCTTGGATTAATATTGATAAACGGAGTGTGTGAATGAAGATTTCTGACAAAGTCATAACTACAATGTTGTCCTAGCGTGCATCATTCAAACGCATATTAATATAAGTTATCGACGAGCTACTTAGACTATCATTGACATTTTCCTGATCCAATTTAGTAAGTCTCCAAACGACTGAATTCAATCAACTATATGTTCTTCAAATCATAGCCAGACATGAAGCTTACCAGGATCCTGCGTAGTTTTGAAATTTGAAAATCACATTAGTACTATTTGATGGATGTCAGGATGTGTATTTTCGACAGTTCACTATCTTGTAGGCATCAGTTCTTCACCTGAAACATTTCTCAACCATAATGTGGCTCAAATTGTCAACCAGTTTCCCGTAAATCAGATCAACCATCAACTATTTTTCAGTTTATATACTAGACTGAAGAGCACGCTCAATGGTCTCATCACTTATCGGTTTCGGGTAAAATACCAATACTTTGTGACTACATTATTGCGAGTGACTTTAAAGGTAATCCTAGTAGTTTATGTGATATTTTTTTTACTTGATTTTACGGAAAAGAACTACCCTTACCAGCAAAATAATAATTAGGGAAATTTAATTGGCTATTCCAGTAGTTATTAGAAGAATTTTTTCTAAGTCACACCTCACTGGTGTCTCTATTCATGATCTTGTTTCAAGTCTTGTCTACTATTCGAAAACTGAAACCCATCACTAGTTATATTCACCTTTGAACTTCTACGTTATCAGTAATTATCTTGAAAATAAGCGTCTCAAAAAAATACTGATTTATGATGACTCTGAGATAAGCTAAACTTGTCAAAACAGAAGATGATATCTGAAACTAAAGCAAAATGATATAATATTGGAGGTTATAGATTTAAATCCTTCGGTAATCTAAAGTTTCTAGCAACTCTAGTACTTGGCAACTTATTGGTTTATTCCTCTTATAGTGTACAGAAATTCAAAATATACTAATTATGATAGGCAATAGCTAATCTTATTGAGAAATAGCAATGATAATGTCCTCTTAGTTTTCTACTGAATAAAAGTTTACTACGCGATGTTTCTTGGACATGTTGTGTTTACTTGGTTGAATTATAGGATTAATCGAATGTATATAACTGTTCTGCATCGGTGGAGGAACGAACGGAACCTCCCATATGAGTCCATTGGTTCAAGTTGTCACACTTCACAGTAGTATTCAAAGAACAGCTGGATAGAAAAAGAGTGATATTGAAGTAGATCAAGTAGTGTGAGGGAATAAAAAAAATCTAAAGATAATGGTCAATGTGAATACTCAAGCTATAGAAGATGTCAAGGAGTGAGCGCCGTTGTCACCGATTTTCAGCCATGTCATCAAGAGTCTTCAACCACAGATTCTCTTGGTCTTAGGGATCCCAGCTACACAGTCTATATCTCACTATACTGCTCAGACCAACAGTTAGAGACTCCATTGACTGCTGTCACATCCTCGTCTGACCACTCCTGAACCTAATCCAACTTCCCTAGCATTGCACATCGAGGTAGGTGGTGGCTCACCCGACATGCTCAGTACGTTTCTGAGTCATCTGAGTCGAGTTGAATTCACAACCGCATCAATCGATTCGTCTGTCTTACAGTTTAGTACCGTTCGCTTGACTTCAGCATTAGTCTTACGATGATTCCATCAAACATGATCAATGCTACGAAGACAGCAGTGATCACAAACTTGAAACCGCTTCTGATGTATTGCATTGGAAACATCCATCGTTCATGCGTTATTAACTATTTTGGTGCGTAAATGGTTTCTCATTAAAAGTCATCAGGCGTTCATAACATTGATAGTAATCAGTTCCCTGGATGGATGCATATACGTCGTTCGTTTTACACCTTTTCTATTGATATGGTAACCGAGTGTTTTCGTTGTTTGGTTTTTGAATTGTTAAATAATATTCATACTTATGATTCATCAAGACATGTAAGCAGTGAGAACAGGTATTGTGCTACTGGTATTGTAGTGACGTGCAGATATTTATGGAAATCGATGTTAATCCTTTTGGTATATAGAAGGGTTTCCAATGAATTTGTAATGATTCATTTTATGAACTACTTGGATAATTGTTCAGCATTTAGTCATGCTGAAAAAGTTTATGACAGTTATCTGATGTTGCGTTTTCCCCTCAACAACTCAGCAACCCAGTTAAGATATTTGAGGTTAGCTTCTTATAAGAGAGTGCTCATGATACCACTCTGTTATCTGGGCCGACTTAGGTGGAGCAGGATTTGAACTTGGAAATACTGTTGAGTGTCGAAGAAAACTAACTACCTTCTCCAGATCATATTATCCTAGAGGAGTCGATCGGGAAGTGAGCTGAAGGAAAGCGGTTAATGTCATAAAGTAAACTATTGAACTAGTTTCATTGTTTTTCAGTCTAAGAAATTCCTTGGTGATTTCTCTGTTTAGCTCCAAAGTTTTTTGTTAGTTTATCTTCCCAGGTAGGAATGAATGTACACACCAATAAAGTCCTGGGTGGAATAAACCGAACGATCTCTTGTATTCTGATTATCAACTGTTTGCTATCGCATCTCATTCAACTGTGTACATCATTATACTTTGCCCACGTTTCTGTTAAATGTTCCATTATTGTTCTATTTATTACTTTTCTTTTGATGTCTTCATCGTTGATAAAAATCAAGATGAATGAATTTGTCCATAAGATCTGTATGGACCAATGTCATCAAGATGTTTTCCTAATCAATGAAGAACACAAAATGAACAGTAAATGCGGAACTTTAGAAGAAGAAGAAGAGGAAAGGAATAGAGAAAAATTGATACCAAAGCATGATTATCATTCATGCTCATCATCGTTGTCGTCATCCTCCTCCTCGTCGTCATCGTCTTCGTTGCCAGTCAGTTTTATTGATCTTTTTGCAGACATTTGTCGTCTTATCGTAGAAATGTCCAATTTCCCCTTACCTATTTTTCATCAGTCTACAAATTCACCAAAAGTGGCAAATATTACAACAAGACCAATGATATCTAATAATTTTTATGATCATTTCAATCTTAGCTTTTTAGATCATTTTGGCGGTGAACTTATTCAACATTCGGAATCAGGTGAGTTGTTTTCATGTATGAAATATATTTTGTCGACCAAGTATAAGCAAACGCTGTTCAACTGTTTAGTTAACTGGTCAAATACACTTCGAATGTTCTACTCTGGATTGTGCTGAAGTTTAATTAAACAACGAACAATATATCTAACTTATGGAACAGTAAACACTCCTTAACGCAAGCAAGTAGACTACACATCATATGGTCCTTAAAGGGTTGTATTTACAGTACATATGCAAGCGTGTTGTAGAGCACTCAATAATCGCATGCATTTTCGTGCATTCGACAGTGAGTCAAACCGAATCAGGATTTGAAATCAAGACTCATTTCTTGAAAGTCAAACATTTGAGGAAATGAGTCACAGTTCCAGTAGTTGCTGGTTTTCCTGCTGACATTTGAATTAAGAGTTCTGACGATATCCAGGTAACCCATCAAGGATGGCTGGAAAGGTTAATCATTTCGACTTAGTATAAGGTAAACAATAGGAAATTTATGATGGCACTCACTAGTGATTCGTTTCACGATTGTCTTCTCGAAGTGCTCATAGGAAACGGTGACCCTTACTGTCAGCCAAACTGATTGAGAAGACTGCAATGCGGGATAACGATAACACTATATCGCAGTTTGACAGGTGTCAGAAACGACAACCACTAGATTCTCAACCTAACTAACAAAATAAACGTAGAACCTCACACTAGAGTGCATCGGCTCAACTTGCTACACTTCACAGAAGTACACAAGGAAAATGTGAATAGAAAAGGAGTGATATCAAAGTAGATAAAGTAGTTTGAGAGAATAAACAATCCGAAGGTTAATGTGAATATTCAAGCTCTGGAAGATGTGAAGGAGTGAATACATTTTCGCCATTATCACCGATTTTCAGCCATATCATCAAGAGTCCTCAACCACTGATTCCTATCGTTTCGGAACACCTAACCAAGTAGTCTGCATCTCCCTGTACAGCTCGAAATGCATGCCAAACCTACAATGGTATCTACGCAAGGAGTTCAGAAGATCCTACATTTCGTCAGCGTCCTCACCTAGTAGGACAATATCGTCTGCGTATGCCAAGTCAACTAGATGGCCTCCAGGAAGTAATTCAATCTGTGAAGTCAGACGTACCCAAGATTATGTCCATTAGTACGTCTGTGATGAAGTTAGGTTCAGGTTGGATGTTAGGCAGGTAAAGGGTTGCTGAAGACCAGTTGAACTGTACTTCAAAGTATTCTGCCCAACGTTCTAGCCGCTTGTTCTGATAGGTTATCAGCGTCTCATCCTTTTCAGTGACGGTTTCACTCACCATCATCTTTTTCTTGCCAGTATCCCTGATAATCCTCAACAGTTTCCGAGTTTTATTCAACGCTAATGTTTTCTCCATCTCTCTCATTTTCACTACCCACAACTGCTCGCGGTCAACTTGAAGACTCTTGGTTAACTTAAGTTTCAGTTGTTTTCTCTCTTCGTCGTGGTTAGAGCCAGCTGGAATCAGTCTTCTTGCATCAATCAGTTCGGATGACGTCACAGAAATACATTAACGTTTGTTAACCTTCGGGTGTAGGTTACTAACTGTCTTTACAGCTGTTTCTACAGATTCTCAACCACTAAATAAGTAGTTATATGTGCTCATCCTAAAGATTGGAAGTTGTGGAATCTCACTGCTGGGGAGTGCCTAATTATGACGAAGCAGTTGTGCAATGCATTCTGCTTTTAAATATACTTCTTGCTGATGTCAGTCTGTGACGAACAATTTAAAATAAATACCATAAATACTATGTTACACTGAGGGAAATTAGAAGTCGTAGGATAAGTTGGTTGATGGATGCACAATTAACTGTATATTACCGTCATTGCTTATTTGGATTCGATCGTTTAACTGCCACTAATTTATTCAACCAATGAAAATAAAACATTTTTATGTATAGTTCTGCGTTGTTTTCTCTGCCTGTTCATAGTCCTGGATAGTAGTAAGTTATCCGAGGCACATTCAATTCAAGCCAACAGCATGCATTGAATACAAGCTCTTAACCAGTCCTCATTGTGTTTCGCATAGGTTGGTAACATTCCTTTTGATTCAGTCCTGTAAACATATTACTAATTTACTGAGGTCGAGTATTATGAGGAATGAAGGGCTGATGATGATATAGTAAAGGTTTGTAGGTATTTAAGTAATTTTACTTTCGTAGCACCAGTCAGTTGTGTTGGTACCACTGAGAGTTTAACGTTGAATATATGTATGAAATTCCAGGTAACGAAGACTCGTCTTGTTTGTATTGTGTTCTCTGAGCTGGGTTGTTTAATCGTGGAGCTTCCATCTTTTTTCTAGGAGACATCATCAGCACTAACTTCAGTATGAAGTGGGCGGTCAACATCCCTCCGTGAGTGATTTAGCAGTGTACCCTGACGAAACGGTTTGTGATTGGTTGTTTCCTTCGATTGTTGTGTCATTGACTGACTACAGGGATTTTCCTGTTGGCTATTCCTCTGCTTGACCTCTGACCTTTCTGTCGTCTATTATTTTCCTCATTGGTTGATAGATTTGGTCTATATTTATACTTTCGTTGATTGCTGACTGATCTGAATGCCAAGCTTGTAGGAATTCTCTGATATTCTTTGTGTTTCCTCTGTCCAAGATTTCTACATTGTCAAAATTGAATTCATGTCCATAGTTGTTATCCACGTGCATTGAAATGTCGTGACGTTTAATAGCCAATTGGTGCTCATGTAGACGAAGGCGAAGAGGGCGGCCGCTTTGTCCAATGTAGTGTTGATTACAGTTATTGCAGTTGGTTTTGTAAATGATATTTGATTTGTCTTCTTTGGTTGTCGCATCCTTTGGTCTACATAATAGTGTTTGGAGGGAATTTGTTGGTTGATGAGGTGGACCAGTTCCAAGTGGTTTCAGTAATCTTGTCATGATTTCTGATATATTCTTATGTATAGTAGGAAGAAGCGTTTATTGATTTCTGTCGATGACTTTGTAGTTGGTTATATACGGCATAGGCATCTTCTGATAAAGTTTCGTGGGTAGCCGTTCTTCTTTAGAATAGACGCATCATTTAATTTTCTTCATTTCCCGTGAAGTTGTACTACAGTATGTTCTTGCTCTTTTGAGTAGAGTCTGCACGCAACTAATTTTGTGCATTGTTGGGTTGTTGCTACTGTAGTTGAGTATTTGATCAGTGTATGTTGGCTTTCTTCGGTTGAAATAACTGTGAGAACATGTGTTTGTTGTAATCACAGGTACGTTAGTATGTTTTAAGTAACCCGTATCGTACTTAGGATTAATAAAAGTTATGTTTTCTATTCTGGTGACAATCAGAAGACATTCGGGTACTTTCTGCTGCTGAAAAAGGAATTGATACCTTCTCTCGTCTCTTCACAAAGTAATAGACTGTTTGTTTCTAAGATACTTTGAAAAGGAAAGCAGATTGATCTTGCCCTCAAAGCACATATACAGATTGCAAGGAAAGGTTGGATAAAGTTGATTGTACACGGTCTTCTCAAGATATTCGCTTTAGATTTCATTGAGTTGGAGTCTTCTTTTACTAAATCGTGTCACTGACATTATAACGACGTGTGGAAAGAACATGTGTGCTGCTTTCAGGACCGGCATCTGTGACTCACCCTCTGAAAACAAGTAGACATTATCACCTTTAGATGCTCACTATTCTTGGGAAACACCTCAGATATACTGTGAGGAGTATGACTTATCTCTATTTTGTACACATTAAATTTACCATTTCGCATCTAAATTTCCTAGTATGTTAGAAATCTTTGGGATAATCTGGTGTTAGCTGATTCAGCACGAATAGGTTAGAGTAATCGCTGAATGTGTCATAATTACAACTATTCAATTTTAAGGTTTGTAGGTATTTATTCATTGGTCTCGGGTTGGTTTTCATCATAGACTGACATTAGTTGAAGGAACACTGAAAACCTTAGTGCACTCGACTTCTGTTTCATCCTAATAGGGGACTCTTAGACCATGCACAACCATGACCCTGCTAATTATCGGACTCAGGACTTTCTGTTAGCATTTAGTCATTGTCCTGGAATTCAATAGTCCAAATTTCCTACTTCTCTCAGTTCATGATGAATTACAACCTGAGATTACAACCATTGTTGCATACAGAACAGTTCCAGGTTGCTGATGAATTTTCAAGTCATTTTTATTCCCTTCCCTTTTAAAGAATCATTTCTCTTTTTGCCTCCTTATCCTTTTATATCACTCACTCATTCACTTACTAACCAGAGTTCAATAAACGATTATATATATATATATATATATATATATATATATATATATATATATATATATATATATATATATATAATACATAATGAAAACGAATAACGTATATTCAAGGCGTTCATAGTTTTCTTTCGATGCTTACCGTATACTAACAACTTATTGATTTATGATTCGCAGCTCATGATAATTACAATCATCTGTACATATTTTTTTGGAAACTAAGACTCTGTGCATAATGTAATCAATTGTTCTCACCTTGACTACTATTAGTGGTGTTTTCTACTGTTTAAAAAATCGATCATCATGTACAATGATTAAGAATTAAATTGTTTTTGCTTCATCAAGTCGCTCTCTTCACATTGAAGGTGTTGAACAGTTTACTGTACACACATTTGTGCATGTATGTGACCACTAATTTGTTCACACAGGATTTCTCATATTCAGTTTATACGTAAAATTGAAACCCACTGTGTTAGTTTTTATGGTAGGTAAGTCGTTTTTCTATGAGCGTCAGTAAGTTATAATCTGTAGAAAAAGATCGCTCTACAGTTTGTTCTGTTCTATTATACGACTGTGAGACATGGCTAATGAAAGTAGAAGATATGAAGCGGTTGCAGGGTTTTTGTTGCATTGCTCACCTTTCGTGGAATCATTGTGTGAGCAATGTCAAGGTCAGGAAAACGGTACTGAGCGACATGAAAAACAAGTCGATTGATGCGGTTTTGAATCCTAGTCGACTGAGATGACTTGAACTTGTAGTGCGTACACCGAAAGAGCCACTGCCTACCTCAATGTGCAATGCTAACGGAAGTTGGATTAGGTTGTTAGAGTGTTCAGGGTGGCCAGACGAAGATGTCGAAGCAGTTCACAACGTCCATGACTGTTGGTCTAGGCCGTGTTGGGAGATGTAGACTGTCTAGCTAGGGTCCCGAAGACGAAGAGAATCAGTTGTTGGGGATTGTTAGTGATGGGACTGAAAATCGGTGACAATTACGAAGACGTATTTCACTCCTGGACATCTGAAGCTTGAATATTCACACTAACCTTTATCTTTCGATTGTTTGTTCTCTCACACCACTTTGTCTAGTTTGAGACCACTCTTTTTCTATCCAGCTGTTCTTTGAATACTACTGTGAGGTGTGACAGCGTGAACCGGTGAACTTGTGTGCGAGGATCTACTTTGATTCTGTCAGTCTGAAGAAGAGGCTTGGCTTCGGACAGGTATTTTGATGACATGGTTTATTGATTATAGAAAGAAGATTACACTCTGACTTTTATGGTTATATTACTACTGTCTTGTGTGTACGTGTATATGACAAATTCATAACGAAGATTTTGCTAACGGTTGTTTCCTAGCCTAGTGAGAAGTTTGCAATGGAATATTCATGATATGACAACATCCATTCTTTCGTCATCCTTAGCGTGAACTACAAATCTCATTCATCATATCTTGTGTATCTTAGGGTTTCACTTCTTTGGTTGGGTTATTTAGAGTAAAGAGTTTACTAAAGCATCAGTAAAGTCATATCATCGTATAACATTTGCTCTAGTTGACTGGATACTGTTTACGTCTGCTTTCTTGGCATAGTCTTGTCGAACATTGTTCATTGACTCTGGATTTGATTTGGAAAGTAATGCTGTCTTTTTTTTTCTAATAGTTCTGCTTGATAATGAATAAATAGTATTTGCAGTAATCTAGTACCTATTGGTGTATCATAGGTGTTTTGGTAGTTGAGCTGTGGCGTAGTTCTTTAGATACCAGATTGCTGACTGTTGGTAGTGAAAAGTTCATATGTGTCCTAAATAATTTGTTCTAAGCAACTGGATACTATTATGAACCTTCTCAAATTAATTCGATTTGGTGGTTTATGGGGATTGATTGATTGGTTTCAAGTTGGTATTCATCACCGACTGACATCAATTAGAGGAAGATTGGAAATCTGAAAGCACTGGAAAGCTGTCTCGTCCTGGTATGGGACTCCTCAGCAGTCCGCGCCCATGACCCTGCTAGCGGTCGAACCCAGATCACTTAGGTTTCGCGACCGGGACCTTACCACTGAGCCACTGGCTCGGGATCTAGTGTTCCATATTTCCTACTTATATCAGTTCACGATATAGCGTAACCGTCACCTAATGTCATCGTTGAGTATTTGTCCTTACGTCCACCAGGTGTGATTCTTAGCTTAGTTCACATAGTTGTATATGGGATTGAGTATTCCGTGAATCAGTAGTTGCGAACGACTTTTAAACAAACGTGAATTAGTCTCAAGTATTCACCAAAATTAAAAGGTGCTGGAGAGAGATTGTAGTAAAAACTCTTCTTCAGAGGTAAAATATAACGTTTGTGCTCATCTGTTTTAACTATTCTTATTGAATGAATGGTCTTCTGTTTGTACTCCTGCTACTTTTTTTTTACCTTTGAAACTCTAGTTTCAACCATTATTGAACAGCCAGACTCATGGTGATTCGATATGCACTTCACCAATCTCAGTAACTGCACTTGACAACCTCATCATCAAATACAGCTTCCTTTGCTAGATAATCCCTGTCTAATTCTTATATTGTCCTGCTTGTGGGTGATTAGACACTTAAAGCAATAATGACCAAGTTTTTTTTCTTTCAGTCGTGGCGGGATAGCGTAGACCAGGCATTCGATACCGTCTCTCGTAAAGAGGCAAGGGTAAACATCGGGGACTTTTGGACCTTCTCCGTTAGTAGGAGTATATGACTTGTTGCGTACACCGTTTGCATGAATATGCGCCTAATTAGAAGCCGTCCTTATGGTCAATGGCTTTTGGTCGACCTGCGAAATCCTGGAAGGCCTAGAAAACTGGTGATATATACACGTGACCCAGTAGTTGATAGTCAACTCCCTAAACCAGGGCTCCACATGGAAATAATGTGATCATTGTTGATTCGTTTTACTTCTTTGGATACCTGTCCGGTGTACGTTTACCTCCATGATTACAGCTTCGCTTCAAAATTTCAGGTTATTGATGTGGTAATGATCAACGGATTACCTTTCATGGAATGATTTTAAGTTTAGAATTTAGGCACTGTGTTAGAATGTAATCCCATACTAGACTAGTTAATTTCATGTATGATTTACTAGATGACTTTTAAAGCAGAATTTATTGCCCATAGTCATATCAAGGTAATCATACGAGTGACTTTAAAAGCCACCCTAGCAACTGCCGAGGTAACTAGTTACTTTTCTCTGTCTCATATGAAACTATCTTTTTAGCCGGAATTCTAAAATCTGATTGGTTATTTCAGCAGTTGCTAGCGTGGCAGTTAAAGACACTCAATCATATAGTTTTCTCGTCGAGGTTTTAATAGTTCCATTGAATTTGGGGGGTTTATGGGGATTTAGAGATATTCCAAGTTGGAAGTCATCATAGACTGACATCAAATGGAGGGACAATAGAAACCTGGGAGCACTGGATGACTGTTTCGTCCTAGTATGGGACTCCTCAGCAGTGCGCGCTCACGACTTTCATGTTCCGTGGCCAGCACGTTACCATTGAACCACTCGGTTGAAACCCAACAGTCCATATTTCCTGCTAATGTCAGTTCATGACATAGCGCGACCATCATCCAATGTCATCGTTGAGTATTTGTCCTCACGATCACTAGGTTTACCCTACTGGTCACGACTTCTCATTGAGACTTAGGGGATCACCTCTCGAAGCTACTTACCAATGAACACTTGTTCAAATGAATTTGGGGAGTTTGTGGGGATTTAGAAATGTTTCGATTTAGTGTTCATGAGAAGTCTCATACTAGGACGAAAAAGCTGTCCAGTGCTCCCAGGTTTCGATTGTTCCTCCAACGGATGTCAACTTGAAACATAGTTCTAGTGTTTTTCAGTCTTTGATTTAATTGACAGTAATATTTTCCACACATCCAGTACTGGTATTGCGTCATTTCGGTTACACATGTTAGACAATACTATATCTTTATTGTAATCAGATGATTTATGAGTAACTAACTAATGTTCTTGGTTCTCTTGGTTTATGAAATAAATTCTCTCTATATACAGTTTTTACAATTTATGCATATATATATTAACATTGTTTTTGTATTTTTATTTCAGTTTTAAACTGGCTAATTTTCTTCGCCATATTTTATTAGTGCTAAATTATTTTTCTATCTTATACACTTAACATATTTAGGCGATTTAACTGCGAAGTTTACCAGTGATTCTGAATCAACTCCATCAGAAAATAAATGTTGTAGCCATTATTATAGTTTAGGTAATTTTGAATCCCATAAAATTTACTGTTTGCGTGATGTTTTCGCGTGCGTGTGTACGTGTGTGAGCTGTTTTCTCGCTTCTTACGCTTAACTAACTCAGCTGATATCTTTAATTAAACATAAGATGTTTAGTAGTTTTATTCACAATGAAGCCTTTGAGGATCTCCTATTCTAACAAGTATACCATTTTTCTGCTGTTTTCTGTATCATCTATTAATTCATTCACTTGTTTATTTTTGTTTGCTGTGGAAGTCCGGTGTTCTCAAACCATAATCATCATTTACGGTTATGTACGCTGAATTGTTTCATGTACGTACTGATTATGTCAGCTGATCCACTTGGATACAGTGAAGCATTTGCTGTGTGCTTTTCTATCCATTTGTGTGTTCATGCGTTTACAAATTTATTTTGGTTATTTTGTGTCATTTTCATGCATATTACTTAAATATCACTTTTGTCTGTGTGAATATTGAAACTCCTTGCAGTAAGTTGACGATATACACCTGTCTAGCTATTGAGCTTACTGTAGTAATGGATTGTTGATACAAGCATTCGATTTTAAACCAATGCGTCAAGATTTTGAATCCCACTTCACCCATTGACATACCAGGTAGCGTCGTATACTCCATTACGCAATACGTACGCCTTAGTTAGTAGTTACGCTTTATTTGTTTCAGCTTAGATGTAGCTTTTTAGTAGCTATTCCATCTGAAGATGTTTCTTTTGAATTTGTTCATAGTGTTCTTCTCTATTATCCCCGAGATACATTTCCTTCGTTTTCCTCTCGTCGTTATCTACATGCACACACATCTACCTCACCATTATTTGCACATACTTTTACAATTTCTTCTCTTGATCCTTGGTAATGATTGAAGATGAAATGAAAATTTCAGCCATGGTATGATTTAAACTAGCGATCACTGGGTTTCCCACTTGGTGATTTTCTGCCAACTGAGCTAGTTTGAACTCTACTGTGGCCTAAATTTTTATTCTTCTCCAGCAACTATTTGATGTGCATTCATATATCTTCAACGAAACAAATCTGTGCTACAATTTCATCTTTATATATATATATATATATATATATATGTTTCATTCTTATGTTTATAAATATACAGGTCAATTCATCTTACCACAATGGCTTGTCTGCTTATTATATGCATCAAGTGAATTGAATGATTTCGATATAAAATCAATTGCTTTGTATACACTGATTGAATTATTCCATGCAGCTGTTTCTATTCATGGTTGGAATACAGAATTCAATTATCCCTTGAAGAAAACTAATGGTGCTAGTAATGACCAATCGATTGATTTAAACAACAATAATAATGTTACCAGTAATGATAGTGATAGAATGGAAGTACCACTCACTGACAGTAAACAACAAACAACACATCAAGGAATGCGTTTAATATTTCCAGTTTTAAGTGGAGAATTAATGGCTTATCTTTGTCAAAAGACAAATTTATTTACGGTAGGTACATTTTTTTGAGATAAAAAGAACTAAAAGGGGAATCTAGAACATATATTTCCTGCTATAGAGGAAACTTATCAACTAAATGTACCTTTATCTCAGTGATCGTCAGTTGTTTCCACTTTGACTCGTACCCAGCAACTAATAACAGTATGAGTCGATACATTTTTATAACTTACCGACTTGTAGCGGACGTCTATGTTCCATTCTGTCAAACAGTACAAAAGTTGGAGTTTTAATTACATCCCACCTACTTGAATGTATATATATATATATATATATATATATATATATATATATATATATATATATATATATATAGTTGATTTTCAACCACTGAGTAATGACTTCGAATCCTGCTGCACCTACTTAGGTTGTATCATTAGGCTTCACACAATAGATGTGTTACACTACCTACTGTTCATAGTTGCTGAGTTCATTTCGACTTTAATGTGAGCAACTTTGTAGTATTCATAGGACTTAATCACCTGGTAGAAGATCGAGTCGGAAATCCGGTGGTCACTGGTTGGAATCCGGTCGCGGTTCAAATTTTCATTTCACACTCAATCATCACCTAGTATGCAGTAAATTATGTCTAAAACGTTATCCAGTAAATAATAATGTTTCACTGCGTGACATTTCTAATAAACAGACTAATTGGTTATCCTGATGGTTGCTACAGTGGCCTTCAAATTCACTCTTAAAGCGTAAGCAGCCTAATCAAAATGTCAAAGAATGAGAACATGGATAGACGTGAAAAAGACTATGAAGCTGACATTAAAATATCCCCAAGAAAAGAAAATGCCTGTAAATGTTTCTACTTGTGAAATATAAAAGTATTATTAACTGAGGTGAGATTTTAAATGATACAGCTGAATACGATTTCGGTTTCCACCATGAGATGACACCGGTTCAGGAAGTATTAGTGTATTGAGCCCTGCTGATAAAAATGGATATAAGTAGTATATATTGAGAGGGTGGCAGAATCATAGGGAATTAACATCAATGGGTAAGGTCTCTGCCAAGAGCAACGCAAGGGATAACGCAGGCGTATTAGGTGGATCCCGCTGATATGAATGTATGAAGAGCAGATCAAAAGCAAATCAAGAGAGGAACAGAAGAGGAAACGAAGCACATTTGCAAATGATGTGTTTAGTGTAAGGTGTACCGTATGTAGCGACTACCATTCCCATCGTGTCTGTCTTCTATCTCTTCAGTTTGGCCCCTCGACTGGGAATCGAACCCATACCATCCACGTGACAGGCGGAGATACTACTATATTAGAAAAGAAAAAAAAATTGAATGTCTATAAAATTTGGACTTAGAAGTCTGAAGTACTGAAAAATATTTATTGTTTGGATGCAAAATATTGATTTTGAAATTACTATTGATGTTATTGTTTCGAAAAATGATAAAAGCTTCACAATGAAACCTTTCAACTGAGAGAACATATCAACTCTAAGGTGTGGAAATCTCTTCATTGTATGAAGCATCAACTTTTAGAATCAAACCTAGAAATCTGTTGTCCTTATATTGATTTAGTAGCTTTGATAATAGTAGATGATATTTTGCCTTTATAATAATCCTGTCACTGTACTATTGAAACTAATGAATTGCTACATTTTGATGTAGGTACCTAGGTTATACATTAGAGTTGATTGGATGCTTCTAAAGCTGTATAAACCGTTAATGTAAATTTCTATCTGAATTTTTTGTCTGACTCAATCTATTTTTCATGTTCTTTTTTTTTTTCGTTTTAAATCAACCTAGTACTTAGGTGTTTCATTATGGAATTATCTATCCCCCGAATATTCTGCATTTCATGAGGACACTGCAAGTTTACTAGTACGCTTGCATCAGTTAGCTCCACCATTACCTAAGTCTACTTATGATATTGACCATTTGACTCCGGGTCCATCTGGATTCTCATCTACTATCAGTTCTTGTATTGAAGGATTTATTCTTTCACAAATGCTTTCATCGAATTTACACATACAAATTAATGCATATTCACGTTTTATTCTACTATGGCATTTAATGCGATATTATGGTTCACGGATTCAATCAAATTCTAATGGATTAGGTAGTTCTGTGACTACTAATTCAGTGCAACAATTTACATCATTGAATAAACGAACAACATGTTCTCCAGTTCAAAATTCATTTCAAATGAGTGGATTCTGTGGTTCTATGGCAGCTGTATCATGGAGACGTAACTTTCTTGGTTCAGCTTGTGTTGAAAAATATGGTATTGATGCTTCATTTTCAAGTTTAGGTTTGTATGATATTCCTTTCTACAGGTAAATGTTAGGTGATATATAATATATATATATATATATATATATATATATATATATATATATATATATATATATATATCTTTCTCATTTTATGCATATTTCTATGATCAAGGTTAGTGTTTATATGATTCAGCTTAGCATCCAGACTAACACGTTTTCGCTTTAACCTGTGGGTTAATTGGCGTAAGATTGCATCAAAAATTGCCTGCATAAGTGAGCGATAATAACTTATTCATCCTGTACAAGAATCTTGCAGACAACGGAAACAAGTGAACCAATAACGCAGTGAGCACATACAGTGTAATTCCGCCCAGTGGTAGAAGTAATTACGAAGATTATATATATATATATATATATATATATATATATATATATATATATATATATATATATATGCCCGATCCATCTCCACTTATCTTCTGCATATTTGTTTGGTGATAGATTCTTGGTTGGTTCGCTCCCAGAGTCATTTCCTTATTGCTTATTCTTTCTGACCATTTGATCTTCAGTATCAAGTGAGCGTAGGCGGCAGCTGTTGATGAATGTTTGTAGTTCGTTGGAAATACTTTTCTTGACGCGCTAAGTTTCTGAACCATATAGAAGCACTGACTTGACGTTGGTGTTGAAAGTCGGGATGTTGTTCATGTTTTTTGCTGAGTGCAGTAGATCTCGACACTGATTTCAGATTAACGAATACCTGTCTTTCCGATCCTGGTTTTGACATCCTCATCTGTGCGTGTGCCACCTGTCTTTGAAACGATGCTGCTGAGGTAGGTGAAAGAGGCAACTTCCTTTAGATTTCTCCCATTGATGGTGATTGGTGCTTATAGTTGTTGATGCTGGTGTTGGTTGGGTATCTTCATCACCCCTACCTCTGTCTTCTCTGAGTTCACGTGAAGGAAGTCCCGTTTTGTCTGCCTCTTCCGTCAACTTGTGGGTTTTTCCCTGTATATCTTCAAGCTTTTGCGACATTAGACACGAATCATCATAGGCGAAATCCAAATCTTCTGAGGTCCTTTCATCGTAAGACAGCGTATGCTCATCTTCTCGCTCCTCACGGTTTGCTGCATGATCCAGTCGACCACAATGAAGATGATCGGTGGTAGTAGGTGGCAACCTTGTCTTACTCCTGTCTTCACTTCAAAGGCGTCACTGAAAAATCGTACGAAACTTTATATCGAAAATGCATGCTTATGTAGGTCAGACTAAGGTGAAGGGTCGTATCTATTGTATACGAGGCTACGATACTATCTGGTTGGCCAAACCTTGATATGTGCAGCGTGCGCATGGACCTAGACTAATTGGGTACATCTCTATTAAAACATTATTTACACTGTAACACTCTGTACATTGAAATCGTCATCCTTAACTTAAGTAAAGAAAACAAATGTTTTATTAATATAGTAGCAAAACTTGAGCACTGTGGTAGGTTGTAATTCCATTTTATTCTTTTTTTTGAAATTATCACACCGTGAAACAGTATTATTTACTGGATAACGTCTGGACATAATTTATCTTCTATATTCATATCTGGTCTGAGTCGAGATTTTGGATGGTTATTAATTTGGTCTAGTACCGTTGCTAAATATTTAGACAACTCATAAGTTGAAGTATTTTTAAAATCTACTTTAGGCCTGATGGGATAACCTGGCTTATGAATCTAATAGTCATCATCATCATTATCAATATAGGACCAGGCATTACTGCGTAACGGTCCGAGTTGCCACACCTCATATCAGCACATCAAGTAAAAAGGTAGTGAGGCGAAGGATGAAGATAAGTGAATGCAGTCAAAAGAAATATAAAGTACGAGAAGAAAGAAAGAGGAGTGACAAAATAGTGAGATTCGGTATAGCGTTGTTGAGATGAGGATAATGTGTGTATACATCTGCGCCACTCACATCGGTTCTGAGCCATATCACCTAGAGTCTGCAACCACTGGTTCTCTTGTCCCGTGGACCCCAACCACCTAGTCTGCATCGTCCTACATGGCTTAAACCAACAGTCAGAGACTTCATACATTGGTGCCATGTTTTAGTCTGGCCACCTCTTAATAGTGCTATAAATTCTACTGGGAATATTAGTTTTCGACATTAAATTAAGCAGTTTTGACTCACCTAAAAACGGTTTCATTCGGTGTATTAGATCCTCATTAGATTTATTAACCTAATTCTTCATATGCTCCTGTTTTCATATGTTCATTCAGTTTGCAGATATAGTCAGATTTATTCATCATATTGTTTTATTGTTATCATTTTAAAGGTTCCTAAAAGCTTCTCTTTCTGACTCGGATAAATAAGACTTCATTTTCTTCTATTATTTCAGTGTTAGTGTACACTGTTGTACCCTTTTCTCATCTACTGATTTCAATTTATTGACCATTATATTGAAGTTAAGATCTTTTTCTCGCACTTGCACGCCTGTTGAACGTTGGACTTCAGTCAAGAGATTAACAACCCATTTGACTTATGAATCATTGATGATATACTATTGCTAACTTCATTATTGTTGACTACAAATCTATGTCTAGTTGATAAGTATTTCCTATAGGTTTGAATGTTTCCCTGTTAAATATAATGTAAAATTAACGTTCATTTGTTTATCATCCATTCAAACTTATTGCATCAAGTATGCTGTTACTATGCGTTTAACAAATTCCGTCTCTACAAATTATGTTATCTGTTCCACTTCATCTCGAATGGTGTCCCAAAATTAATACTGTTGAACAATATTCCATGTTTTTTTTTTAATTACTGGTGTTTATTTTTCTGTAGCAATAAATTGTGTGATCACCTTAATACTACTGTACTACTGCACACATCTTTCAACCAAGAACCAAAACATAATAGGCATTTCAACTACCACTGGATACTTATTTCTTAACACAAAGAGTACTATCGTCTGGTGTTTATGTCAATTCGCCATTTTTTTTTATAAGAAAAACACTTTAATTTTCGAAATCATTCAACTTCTTTTCAGTGACAGTTTTAAGCCTAATCTTATCGTTAATAAGTTTATTTTGAAAGTGTTGAATGTTAAGAATCAATTGTGGTAAAAGCTGGGGACCTAAATTTTCTGCTTGTCTGACTCACCAACGAAATGTACATGTAAATATGAGGAGATCGACTTCAGAACTGAGTGATATAGTTCGAATCGTCAAAGGAACACCAATTTTTTCTTCATGTTTGCAGATACGCCTAACTGATGAGTATCAGTAGGCATTGGACCTACGTCCAGAGTTTCTGCCAATTGATGCATAACATTTAACATTAAAATACAGTACATTACAGTGTCTCATCGCTTAGATTAGTGATCCCATCGCAAACTTCGTTGATAGACTTCACTCAGCACTAAGGACGACAACTACATTGATTATCCATTGGTAAACATTTCATGTATTTTGAAAAGTGTCAAATGAAACTTAATAGACTAGTGTACTCGTGAAAGAACTTCGTCCGACAATAACTTTAGAATAGAAAATAACTGTTATCTATCAGGTTTCATCTTTCAGTGGAAACTGATAGACTATTGAGGTGCATCAACATTAAAACTCTGTAGAGAAATACATCAGTTTAAGTTGTCAAATTTTGCAACACTTTGGAGTTCAGATCAGCACTCCTATACTTCATGGATTACTACCACTTTTTGGTCTAGCTACCAATAATTCTTTCCTAGTATATTTCTGATTCGGTTAACATGTAACATCTAGGTGGACTGTAGCTTAGCATATTCAACATACATCCGAGTCAAATCACTCAGTGAAGGTTCACAGTGATGTTGAATGAATTGCCTTCCTAATTTGGCACCCAGCGCTTAAACTCAACTGTTCATGTGGTGTTTCCATCAAACATAGGGAATGCTATAACCAAATACTTGTAATCTTCTGATATCTTCCAATGTCACCAGCTGTCTCATTGTCCTAAAGTAGGGCAGGAAACCACCTTAAGATACACTTGATCTTTGATCGACGATCGGTTACCTCTAATAATATGGATGTGTACAGGAAACCATCATACAAAATGAGTCAACTTAACCCTCTTTTATATATGGAGATGAAAACTTATTTGGCTAAAAAATCGTTACTGTCTTATGGTTCTAACCAGCAGGCTTTAAGTTATTGACTCAACTCCCTACTGACACTGGTATTGATAAAACTGTCCACGGTAGCCTAATTTACACGGAACTGTAAGTGATTAGTCACTGGTTCAAACATCATATCAGCTGCCTTTATTTGGGCAAAAACTCAGTGTAGAATCAACTTGCCACACTTCATAACAGCACATAAAGAGAACGTGAATAAACGAAGAAGGATATTGAAGTAGATTGGTTTGTATGCTTATAGAGGAGGTAAATCAATCAATGAAGTTTCATGAAGAAGTCAAAATATCAAACATGATAAAGACTGTGTATACACCTGTGTTATTGTGTTTGATTACAAATCATTGATTCCTTATTTCAGGAGGACTCCAGTTGTGTGGCCTGTTTCTCCTTGCATGACTTGAACTAACAGTCAATTTGGTAGTACCACTGACACACACACACACACACACGATTCACCGCACAGTTCAGTGCACAATCCTGATTGCCTGCTTATTTTTTGCTTACGCAGACTAGATAAATGCATGAAGTCATGCATCAACACAGGTAGAATATGTTTTTCTGGTTACCATTGCACATTACGCAATAACTGTTTTATATAATTGATAAAACATAATGGTCTCTTACCGATGATCAGATCTACTAAGCTTTCTCTATTGTTTGTTATCGGTTCTCGTTATTGTTTTTTATCTTTTTCTCTTCATCCACCTAAACAATAATCAATTACTTAGATGTACACTTCTACTATTGGACAACTTGGACTATGATAATCCATGCGGTCCAGTCGGTTCAATTGGTTCCGTTGGTTTACTGAATTCACAAATGTTTCAGTGTAACGCCAAACTAAATGTCATGGACAACAGATGTAATAGAAATGATGAAAAAGATGATAATTGTCAAGAACATGATCAAATTGAGCAGCCAAATGGTTTTAGTAATGCTGTTCTACGAGAACAGTCTATTGTATGGATGGAGAAAGCTTTGAGAACTGGTCAAGTGGATCGTTTGATTGCACCAATCTTGGTAGCATTGTTACATCCAGCAACAGCTAGAATTAGCTTGAAAGCGCATGTATTAAAACATTATTATCAACAGATGACGGCAGTGAAACAGTCGAAAACACTGAATACAACCTCGAAAACACTTCAAACGAAAGGTAAGAGATCGCTTTAAAAAAATTTATTTACATTACATATTGTGCTTTTCAACTTTATTTTGGAATGTCTCTTGTAAAAATCGCCGAGTTGCATCTCATGGTTAAATGTCCAACTGCCTAGACTTTTAGCCAACAATACCCTCACAATCTAACAGCTATTGATGGGGTTATCAAGGAAACTGTCAGATGTTCCTTTTATGCAAGTGGTAATGGTATTGCGTAATCATCTGAATGAAACTAAATGAAGCCTTTCTCCCTCATCTTTCAAGTGATTTGATTTTGGATTATCAGTGTGGTTATGTGTTTTGTACCGTCGAACTATGGGTTACTGGTTAGCTGATTGTGTGCAATGACTTCTCGTTTTCACCTTTAGCTCACTTTCTTTTATCATTTGACTGTCTGAGATAGCCGTAGTTTGGCAGACTAGTATTTACACTGGGTGATGATTGAAGGTGAAATAAAAATTTAGAACGCGGTTGGGTTCGAACCAGTGACCACCGGGTTTCCGTCCCGATGCTCTATCAACTCATCTATACAACCGGACTTCTGATCAGATTTTTATTTCACTTCAATCACCAAGTTTTTTTTGTCTGACTACCATATGAATTCGTGACGCGTTATTACCGCTTAATCGTACTGGTTGCCTAATCAGGACTTCTCACCCCAATCCAAATCTAACTGAATTAGAGAGGGGGAGTATCACAGTGATTATCATTTGATTATCTGAGATAGCCGTGGTTTGGCGGACTAGTATATATACTGGGTGATAATAATCAATATGATGCTCTCCCTCTCTGATTCATTTAGATTGGGATTAGGATGAGAAGTCCTGACTAGGCAACCAGTGTGAATATGATCAAGCGGTAGTAACGCGTCACGAATTCATTTGGTAGTCAGGCGGAAAAAAATCCTTGGTGATTGAAGTGAAATAAAAATCTGGTCAGCAGTCCGGTTGTGTAGATGAGTTGATAGAGCATTGGGACGGAAACCCAGTTGTCACTGGTTCGAATCCAACCATATTCTAAATTTTTATTCCCCTTTCTTTTACATCAACTACATGAAATCCCTAATGATTAAGTTATCTTATGCACAAACAGGATACAATCTTTGATAGTTTTCAATGTGCATCAAATGTATATTAGCTGTATACTTTAAATGATTTTTACTCTTTCTACTAAATGTCCAATTTTCCAAGTCAGATATCAACTTTATTTGTTGATAATTTAGATATCTACTTTCGTGTTCATCCTTTACATATACGAAACGCAGAGTAGACGTGAACCAACATACATTTAAGGTTATGAGGGTTTAGCGTACTCACAGTCTTTTAAATGTAGCTTCATTATGACCAATCTGAATACCAAGCAGTTTTTTTAATCATGGATATTTTTATCTTACGCCCAGTTAGTTAGAACAGTTTGTTTCTCCTGAGAAATACCTTATATGGAATACACTAAGTGACAGTACACTAGCGAAATCGGCGTTCCTCGCACCTGTTCTTCAGTACCGTATTCTTGTCGATTTAAGTGTGAACAAAATTGTGCGGTCTAATTTCTCCTTCTTGAGGTAGCTGATAGTTGGTAGACAGATAGGCAATATCTACATAGAACCAGGAGTAACTGCATAATGATCCAATTTATTATTATTGTTTGTCCCTTCGGTTCCTAGTGGAACATAGGGCTTCAGTAGCACGTCACTGTTTCACTCTCTTCCTTGCAGTCTTTTTAACTTGGCTCCACCATTGCCCAAAAGCTTTCATTTCTTCCTCACACGACCACCTCTATGTCACCCTCACCTCGGACGCCTAACTCATCGTTTCCCATTCAAGTTTCACTCGAGGGCCTGAACTGACTTGTTGTACCCCCAAATGGTCTTCTCACTGTATGCCTGATCCATTTCCATTTCCTTCTGCATATTTGTTGGGCGGTAGGTTCTTCGTCGGTTGGTTCGTTAGCAGGCGAGAGTTTCTTGTTGCTTATTCTTATTATTCTGGCCATCTGATCGATTTTCAGTATCGACTGAGTGTAGGTGACAGCTGTTGACGAATGTTTGTAGTTTGTTGGAAATGGTTTTCATAACGCGCCAAGTCTCTCAACCATCATATAGAAGTACTGACTTGACTGACTTAGTGTTGAAAATCCGGATATTGTTCACGCCTCATGATGAGTGCAGAGCAGTAGATCTCCATACTGATTTCAGATTAATTAAGGCTTGTCTTGCTGTCTTTCCGATTCTAGCTGGCTTTGACATCATCTGTGCGTGTGCTGCCTGTAGTTGACACGATGCTGTCTAGGTAGGTAGATTTCTCCTCTTGATGCTGATTGGTGTTTGTTGCTGTTGTCGTTGGTTGGGTATCTTCGTCACCTCTACCTCTGTCTTCTCTACGTTCACCCGAAGCAAATCTCGTCTTCTCTGTCTTGCCCCGCCTCTTCTGTCAACTTGTCTTTTTTCGCCTGTAGATCTCCGAGTTTGTACTACAAGACATCAGACATAAATGATCATCGGCGAAAACCAAATTTTCTTCTGGGGTCTTTTCATTAGTCAAACAGCGTATGCCCATCTTCTCGCTCTTCATGGTTTGCTGCATGATCCAATCGACCACAATAAGGAAGATAATCGGTGATAGTAGGTGGCAACCTTGTCTTACTCCTGTCCCCTGTCTTCACTTCAGAGGCATCACTGAGCTTTCTATTGTGAATCACTTGACATGTAGCATCATATAGCCTATAAGTGTTGAATGAGGTTGATAAACGTTCATGGCAGTAAAACCGTAGTATTGAAGCAGCTGGTTGCCAAATTAGTTCTCGGTTGACGCTATCGAAGGCCTTTTCAAAGTCGATGAAGTTGAGGTAGAGAATTGAGTTGACTGCCATTCTATGCTGTGTTCTATGATGATGCGTAGCGTAGTGTTGCAATTTGATCAGCATATGATTTGTTCTTCCTGAATCCCAGCCAGCCTGTTCCAGTCGTAATTTTGAACCAGCTCATGAAAGATAACGAAATAAAGAAGAAAACAGTGAAAAATGGTAGAAAGTCATCCCAAGAGTGCAAGGAGGGATGAGAGAATACTGAAATTCACTGTGACGATTAAGATGAAAATGTGTGGATAAATCTACTTCAGTGAGACCGATTCTCAGTTATTTCACTACTGTATTCTTTTGCCACGCGGATCCCATGTAGAAAGTTTAGATTTTTCTATATGGCTCAGACCAACAGTCAAAGACTTCAATGTTTTCTTGTGGTTGCCACTAACCTTTTTCCATCGTAAAACTATTTCAGCCAACATTATGCGATGATGTAGACACATATCCCAGTCATCTGAGGCGATGAAGGTTAGAAATTTCATAAGTTGGTTTTCCTTTTTATCTAAAACTATAAATCTGACGTAGAAATTACGGATTTGGTGACACCACAACATGGTAATCGGATACCAAATTGGTGCCAAAGATGGCGTGAGTTGACGAAAGCCAATCGAGTCTTATGTATCCGTGAAGTGATTTTGTCGGTTACTGACCCACCAGGCTGATCCGACTTCCCAGGTAAATAAAGTCGTCACAGCATTCAATCACTTGACTCCCTGTTGTTTGCCGGGGCACTGCTGAAGACCACTTGTAGAGGAACAATTTGCATTTAGTTGACGAGAGGCACATCCAAATCATTCTTTAATTGCCTCCTGAGGTGTCCAATAGTCTCTGCATCTTGTCAGTGTCTTTATCATACAGGACTATATCATCTGCGTCTTCTAGAGTTACCAAGGACTCTCCTTTAGTTATATGAATCCCTGTGAATTCAACGAGGAGAGAGAGACCTTTATAAGAACGTCTATGGTAAAACTGAATGGTAATGGAGGGAGTGAACATTCTTGGTGGACACAGCTCAACATAGACTCTAACACGTCCACACATTTTTGAGTGAACATTATTCAATACAGTGATGTACTTACTCGATACCCCTTTTAGTGAGTGACACTTTCATAAAACTGTTCCATCGATGGAGTTGAATGCTGCCTTCTGCTTGAGAAATATAGCTAGGGTAGGTGTGCCTGTGTCCCAGAACCTGGAGGAGCGTGAATATTTGATCGATACAGCCACGACCATGTCCGAACCCTTTCTGGCTTTCTCGGGCTTTCTATTCTCGAGCTCCACCTAGACGTTTGATAATTATAGGACATAGAACCCTAGACACTATGCTCATTAGGCTGATTCGTCTGTGGTTATCACGAGTGGACTTCTCGAAGACTGGGGTAATCAGTGATTGAAACCAATCAGAGTGGATCGTTTCTGATTTTCAGCATTACCTTTTCTAATCTATCCTTCTGAGAGGTATAAGGCAGCATCAGCCTGAAATGCTAGTCGTCCTTGATAAACATTTTACTACTGTCACTTTGCGTATAGCCTTCAGTATGACTTCGTCGCTAAATCTTTATCATAGTGTAAACTATTTATTGGATGATTTTAATGTTACTAATATCCATAAAAACTTCCTCTCATGGTGTGATCTCAAGGAATAATCTTTCAAACCAGCTTAGCTCACTACAACATTTCGATGCTAAAGCCTGATCATCACTTCGTGATGGCGATTGACTTCTTCTGCATTACTCAACACATAACAAGTTAGTCATTAGTTGAATAATTAAGTGCTGAAGACTGTATCACTTTTATTTAACTAAGATACAGATTTGTATATGTTCATCATCAGCTGGTAGAAACACTAATTATAATATGAATCCAGAATAATTGCATTTATCAGTATCATTGCTTGTATTATGCCGTCGTTGATTGGACCGAATTGATCGGTTTCTATTGGCATATGGGCTCCCGTGCGTATGCCTCGATATAACCTGTGTTCTAATTATAGTAATGATGGATAGTGACTAGCGGTGGTATCCAGGATGTTCATTTCGTCCTATTTGGGACTGGTCAGCTGGATTTACCTGCCTTTCAGTGAGTGATGTTCCCACTGAGCGTTACCCACTACATCACCAAGTTCGGTGGTGTAGTGGATAACGCTCTGGCGTTTCAAGTGATCGCCTATGAGTCCGATCCCAGTGGAGACGACGTCACTCATTGGTAAGGAAGTACATTTAGCTGACGAGTCCCAAATAGGACGCAATGCGCATCCTGAATTCCACTGCTAGCCACTATCCATCATTACTATAATTACAAGAATTCTGTACTCTACTGAAGAAACTCTTTTATTGACGTAACATTTCGTTCTCCAATGCCTGTTAATTTCCTTTTTCTATGTTTGTTCAGATGCCGATTGTCAACTGCCTTCATATGAAGAGGCTGTTAGTGAAATTTGTGATATGAAAGTGAAGCAATCTGATCTTAAGACTGAGGTAAGTGTGCATTACTATTATCTGCATATTCTTCGCTATGTTTTTCAGCTGTGTGGTTTATGAGAAACTGATCAGTTTTAAAATTCCCATTAAGTCAAAGAGCAAGAGACGCTTAGTGAAGAGCCAGCCTTTCCAGCGATATCATTCTCGAGCTGTACAACCGTACATAAATATTCTATTCAAATGGAGTAACAGAAAAGGAATGTCTCATGAAATATTTTGAACGAAGTTCACATTTTAGTAAAGATCGATAATGGCTAGCAGTGGAATCCAGGATGCGCATTTTGTCCTATTTAGAACTGGTCTGCTGGATGTACCCTCCTCCCAGTGAATGATATTGTTCCCACCGGGATTCGAACTCAGGGGTGATCGCTTCAAACGCCAGAGCGTTATCCACTAACCAGGTATGTCGAGGCATCCGCTGATGAGTCCCAAATAGGATGAAACGCACATCCGGGATTCTACTACTAGTCACTATCCATCTTTTCTATAATTAGAACATAATTATATCGAAGCGTCCGCACAAGAGTCCATATGCCAATAGTGACCGATCAATTGAGCGCAGTCAACGACGGTATTAATACAAGCAATAACACTGAAGTCCACATTAGATTATAAATCAAGAGGTCGGAAAAAAAGAATGATGTAATGTTTGAAAAAGTAATAAGAAGGCAAGACGGAATTAATATTTAGTTACTAGGTTAAATGATGTAACACGGTGAATGTAAAGAGAACTCAGAACTATATAATAGTGGAGGAATGTTATGTATGAAATCTGAATGAAAAGATTTTCGGAGGTGAAAATGCTCCAGTTGTAGTTAGCAGAAAAACCCAGCACGCGCGTCTCGCCCTATTTGAGACTCGTCAGCTGAATATACCTGCACTCCAGCGAGTGATGTTGTCCCCACTGAGACTGAAGCCTCGTACCCATAGCTTCAAACGCCACAGCGTTATCCACTAAGACATGGTAGCCACTTCTTGTACAATGGATGTTAGTCGTAACGTTTTTTTAGTGTGCTTGTAATTCTATATTGTCCCGCTTGATCGAATTGTTCGACCTCTGTTGGCATATAGGCCCCTGTTTGGATGCCTCGATATAGCCTGGATATTTATTGCGGTTATTTACTTGGTTGTAGCTCCCTGGACCATCTTGATGTGTGCTCATCAATTTGCTTCCTCCTGTGAAGTAAAGCATATTGGTCGTACTCAGCGTTCGGGTTCCAAACTCATTTCCGAGTATATACCAGCCTGATTCCATAATGAATTATACGTTTAATAAATTATTAATATGTGATTTGTCCGTCGTGATATTTTGCAGTTTAATTATAGTTCTGCTTAGTTACATTAAGTTCTCCCATGATATATATATAAATTTGCTTATTCTTTTCCGACTCCTCCGTCAGATAAAGTTTTATCTATGCAAGACGTGTATAATGATACATAAAACAATCCAAATTCATTCATCAACTTCTATTTGTGATGTTAATACAATGTTGAGACTTTGGAACAGCTAAAGATGTCTATCCTGAGACAGAGAATTCATCTTTAAGGTCTCTAATAACTGATTTAAAGTATGTAGTGATGTCTGGGCATCCTGTTTGGTGTCCTTGAGACGTCGAAAACTGATGGTAATGCCTCTAGATAATTTAATTCAGAATTCATTGCAGTTGTTCAAATGCACTCAAAAATTATCTTAATTTAGGTCGTCAAGCCTTCATTCGCATATAACTGACTGTATTATTTCACTTGCCTTTATGTCTTACTGCTTTTACAACTATTGATACTATCATTGTTACTTTTAATTCTTTGTGTTTTCTGTTTCTGACTACGGTCTTATTGTGAAGTATGGCAACTTCAGCCGATAGGCAGTCATGCTAGTTTCTGTGTTACCTAAACACTTAGGTCGCAGGTTCGAGCCCTGTTTCATTTACCGAGGTCTAGGAAGCCAGGTAGTATCATATACCTTCACACTACTCATTGCCTACCGCACGAATGTATACAAGGCTGCTGTGTGAAATTCCTTTCTCTTCCTTCTTTCATTTGGAAGATTTGAACTGATAACTTTGTATATACTAACTACAGGTGATTGGGAATTCTTATTCACTAGTGTCTAAACACTCGATTTTCCACCAGTTGGTCATGGGTTCGAAACCCACAAGCAGGTGAGATTATTGTCCTACATACAATTGGCGTTGTTAATTTCGCACCATAAAAACATCTGCGTGGTTGCTGGCGATTTGATGATATGATTTTGTTTTATTTTTGTCTTTGACGTGTTAAATGAGATACACGAGTTAGTATGTACACCTTGATTCTACAGCTATTAACGTCACATCAGCTGAATCAATGGGAAGGCGAATTTGGATGGCTAGCCTACATCGTACAATATTATTTGTATTTAGCAAACTACATGGGAGGTATGTTAGAGATTAAGGCATACGTGACCTAACCAATATGTCAAGAAGTGAGAACAAAGTTTCGTTTTAGTTGATTTATTAGAGGCACCACACAGTGGAATAATACAATTTACTGGATTACGTTTCGGAAAACAATTTATTATCCGTAGTCATGCCAACCTAACTGCACAACTTTTAGACATGATTTTTGTAGTTCTAATTTCCTCACCTCCCCTTTGTAATATGGGTAGTATGACTTTCCATGTATCTGGAACGGCTGGTGAGTCATTCCTGTTGCATGTTGTGTTAGGTGTTGGTTGGTTCGATCAACAAAGATTCGGTTATCAATCTCTCCTTCCACCTCATTATGTTAGTTTTAAGGATTTTCACCCTGTTGCATCCTATTGTATGGTTGTGTGTACGTGAGTGTATAGCTACAGTTGAGCTTTTCACTCGATTCTTTATCTTATTAGGATCTACTAATTTTGGTTTAGTTAGGTTTTTGTAATTGGATAGCCTAATTGACTCTGATCTACTATCAAACCAAATCATTTAACTCAACTGGATCTTTTAATATATAAAGTTTATTTGTGGGTGAATTTGTAGGTTTAAATGTTATTCTCTCTTCACAGTGTTGCCACTATTATTACCATAAACACCTGTGTTAGTAATATTAGGTATATTTTTCTTACGATTCCTCAGGGATTAATTCATTAATTTTGTAGATTAGCTATTGATGAGTTAGGTGTCCTTCATGTATCCGGTTTCTTGTTTTAGATCTTCTCTTTTACTGGTAAGATTTTTGGCTCTGTTACTTAGACATTTTACTAAGCCAACTTTAAGTGACATGGAGCGAGATGACTTGAGGTCTGAGTAAAGGTTCAACTGTAATTGCAGCGAGGTCAAGCATATAGGTCGAAGTAGTCGACTAGGGTTAATTAAACCATCTGATCACAAAAACCTAACTAAACCAAAATTAGTAGATCCTAATAATACTCAATCAACAATCAATCAATCAATATCAACATAGGACTAGGCATTACTGCGTAAGGGTCCGGGTTGCCACAGCTCATATCAGTAGATCAAGTAAAAAGGCAGTGAAGTGCAAGATGAAGATAAGAAAATTCAGTGAGAAGAAATATGAAGTACGAGAAGAGAGAAAGGAAGAATGAGAAAATGGTGATATTGTGTATGGCGTTGTTGAGATGAGGATAATGTGTGTATACATCTGCACCAGTGACATGGATTGTGAGCCATGTGATCACCTAGAGTGAGTCTCAAACCAGTGATTCCTCTTGTCCAGTGGACCCCAACCACCTAATCTGTATCACCCCACATGGCTCAAACCAATGGTTGAGGACTTCATGCACTGATGCCATGTCATAGTCTGGTCGCTCTCAGGCTTTTTCCAGCCTGGGCCTACTTCAGCCAACAATACTGTTCCTCCACTGTGTGACAAATCTAATAAATGAACTGGAATGGAGTTACATTCTACCATGGTGCTTAAGGTTTGCTCTTATAATAATGGACGATGAATTGTTATTAAGAAGAGAATCCGAAAGGAGGCCACTAATATTGCATAAGAGATGAACAGAATGAAGCAGGGCATGAAAGAAGGGATGATTTAATAATCTACCATGCAGGAATAAAATTCACTCTGGGAGTATTAAATTCCTTTCCTAGATGTAGAACTAATAAGGAGAAGTTAACGAACCACGAGAACGTCAATCGATATACATGGGTAGGTGGGTTTGTTGACAGGCTTCTACATCTAAGTGTCTATTGGTTGGATAAGAAGAAATTTAGTTAGATCTTGTGCTTCTCTTATCCAACTCGTTTGCAGCTGCAGTTACTGTTAAGGTAGAGATAAATTTTCAATGCAAAGTACTGGTGGAAATTAGATATCCATTATCGGCATTAAGGCACAAATTAATGAAGATTACCTCACTTTTCTCTGTACGGGGTGTTATATATGAATAAGATTTTAAAGGTGATAAAATTGTCAACATGCTAAAGAGAAGGTTTTTGAACTCCCTAAAAGTGAAAAAATATTCTTCTCAACAATGTTGAGAGCAGTTTTCTCCAGTTGCTCATTGTTTTTAATGAACTAAAAGCCAAGATCTATCATATAGCCACATCAATGCTTGTATTTCAAGTGATGTGTTCGTGTGGAGCTGGATATGTCGTTTGCCTTATCGCCATCCACTCTAAAAGTGTCCAAGTAAACTGTATTGCGTGGTTACATAGAGTTGGTTTTCAGTCTGTTAGAGGTGAAGCAATCGAACATCTCGTTGACACGCACCATCACTGAATCTCTATAAGCTATTGCTGCAAAGTTATCTACAGAGTAAGAAGTAGGCGTTCACTTTCTTTGTATTATTCAAGCTGTAGTCATCCGGTTCATCAATGCATAGCTTCACATATAAGAGAGACGTGATCAACCCCTTTTACTTTCATACTCTTAGGTATTAACTTCTTAAATTCGTACCTCTTTTCTTCCTTGTTTCATTTTGTCCAACTCTTACATAATATCAGCGACTTCCCCTTTGTATGGTCTTCTGGATGACATTTTCTAAACTTGATAACCACCTTCATTTAATTCAT